GCATACCGACGAATATTTCTCCCATTCGGAGAATAACTTTGACGACCATCGGGGCTGGGGCTGAGGAGACACACAGGTAAGAGTGCCAGGGTGCTCGTTAATATTAGGAGGTGTCCAGTCAGCCCCCGCGCCGTCGGTGACCAGAAAAAGTAAGACCAGCCAAAGTTGATACTTGTAAGGGCAAGGAGACTCACCTGCCACTTGCGCAACTAGCGCTCTCCAGTATAGCTGAATATCTATGTTTAGAAGGGAATTGCACAGCTATGCGACGTCAGAAATGCCTCAATTATAGGTTGTGCGATCAAGACGACCACCCACGTGCGCTATGTAATGGCTACATCAATCCGATGGAAGACCACCAACGTACGAACGACGAAGTAAGAACGACGGACGATTGCAACCATACGTGTTGATATTGTATGTCATTGACCAGTATAAATACTCTAGATCCAACGGTTGACAATGAAATGGGCGATCAAGTGAAGAATTGGCCATTCTCCGCCCTCGCGCACCATCCCAACCGATCAGACGTTCCGACTTGATAAAGCCCGCAACGATGCTCTCTCTTCGCCACCTACTTGTAGCCGCGGTTGCGGTTACTACTGCCCCTTTCGCGCAGGCCGCGAGCAACATGGTCCCCGACTACGAGGTCAAGGTCCTGCTGAACCCCACCGCGGTTCTCGGATCCGACAACAAGCTCAAGGCCACGGTCCTATCGACATTCAGCATGCCGACGACCGTGACGAAGATGAACGTCCAGTTCCTTGACACGGACTCGAAGGAGATTTATAACGCCGGGTGGAGCCCGCGGATCCGCAAGGTCGAGGACGAGGACGATTTCGAGCTCACGTACAAGAAGCGGTACCCCATCACCGGCGGCAACATCAACGCCGCTCTCACGACGGCCAACAACGAGGGCTTCGACTCCAGCGACAGCAACTACGAGGCTCAGGTCGAATGGGGCTACCAGAAGCAGACTCTCTCCATTAGCCGCAAGAAGTCGGCGTCGGACAGTGGTTTCAGTGGCATGGATTTGCCCGGCACCAGCAAGTCGCGTGACATGCTGATCGATGACGCGCCGGGGAAGTTTGACGACTGGTTGTATAATAACTGGGGCACCACCGCGCTTGGAAATTCCCGCATCTACGGACCCATCCTGGCAAAGCGCTCCATCGGCACGTGGAACGGAGTGCAGCTGTATATTGAGGTCTGGCCTATTCTCAACGCGGCGGGCACAGGAACTGAGTACGTCGTTGAAGCGTCGTTCAAGACGGACAGTGCCACGACGGCCTCGACGAAACATGACAGTCTCATCACTTTCATGCAGGGCAAGGGGTGGTTCCTCGCGCAGGACTCATTGAAGACACAGCTCATCATGGATCGCTATTAAAGGAAGAAGGTTCCGCGGTTGGCATGTAGCCTAGACTGTACCGACGGCGAAGATGCACTCTGGGAGGCCAGATAGCCCGATCTCCACAAAAGAGTGCTACTAGTTGTCGGGTTAGGTGGAATGAGCGTTGTCCATGTTGAGGGGCGTGGTGTGGTTTCTATTCTCGGTGTGAATAAATTCCAGTTGACTTCTCCAACTAACATGTCACACGGGCCATTGCTGTATGTAAAATTGGCGCTGTCTTAGCCCACAGAGTTCAATGTTAATTTATCCAAATTGCAGCAGCAGAACAGTCCACTTTCGCCAACAGGCTCCTTCAACTTGGTGTCAAAGCTACGTGGGCACCCGATTCTCATCCGTTCGTCCCCTAAGACCAATAAATGTGGAGCAACTTGGATTATCAGTCTTATGGCTCTTGTTACAGAGATGGCATAGGTTTGGTCTCAGAGAGGGGTCTAATACATGAAAGGCCATTAATATATGGCAGAATGGGACGATGGGTAGAGCTCTATAAGACTTGCTCCTTGCTATATTATCATTTCCTCATTCACCAGCACCGTCCCATTATAAAACATCAATATGTTTCTGAGAAATATAGTCAATCGTTCCGTTCTTGCAGGGTGTCCGTAGTCCTGCACACCTTGGCAGTATTGTTAATCTTAGGCTTAACGAAGGAATATGGTGCAGGATTTTTTTCTTTCTGCCTCGGAGCTGGAACTATTGAGGCCCAACTTGGAAATTTGTCGTGTTGTTCCTACTCCCTAAATCAATGAAAGACGGTAACCGTGCTTTCATATGTTCATCAAGCTTAGGTTCCGTTAGACTCACACTAGCTTGAGTTTTCCACCTTGAAAAAAATGTTGTGAGCGGAGGTAATCTGGCTAAATCTCCGTTGCTAGCATGAGACACGCATGTTAAGATCACAAGGACTTTCACGACATATAATCAGAGAGATGGGTGCCCCTCAAAAAGGCCAATAAATGCACGGATGCCTCTACTTCATGTCGGGATGTAATCCATACTCCATAGTTATTCTTCTCTTGCTCTGTCCCGACTCCTCATTATCCATCTTCGCCCACAATGGCCAGAAACTTTATCAGGGACGCACTGGATTCGGCCTTGCTTGCCCTGCTGGAGAATCGTATCTAGCGATCTACACAGGGGACGGAGCGTGAAGAAAGCGCTGTGCCGGAAACCACCCTTGAGAGGCAACTAGTCCAGCGCCTTCGTCCCAGAGGAGAAGAATCTAATATTCATAACCCTTCGAGTTTAACATCTCGGAGCGAAACGGTCAGCGACGAGAACCCGCCCGCCGCCTTACACCCCAAGCCAACAATACTCGGTTCCTCGATCGACATTCGAGGCTCTAAGTAGCTTAGCTATCCATGGGCTCCCCACTTCTCTGTTCCGAGCTATCGCGAAGAATCTCCAACCTTCCGATCTTGCCGCCTTGGCACTAACGAGCCGCGCATCTCTACGGATACTCGGTCGTCATTCGCTCAGCATTTCAGGACGTGCCCGATATACGCTTCTGGATCGCCTCGAAAGAGATGGTATCCTCCCGTACCACATCCTTTGCTCAACCTACGAGACTTCTTAATCTCCCATACATCCCATAACATTATGCACGAGACGGGTGGAGTGACGCCTACAGGAACGTAGCCATCGACAAGACTCCCTGCGTGAAACTACTGATACAATTTCCGACACAGTTCTCTTTTAGCACCATCGCTTAATTGTTCGATCCTCGAGACACCCGACGAGGCCGTACGACGTCGACCTTCTGAAAGGGATGAAGGCGTACATCTTTGCACATCAGGGTCCAGAGGAAAAAGTCCCCGTCGTTGCCGTCGGGTGTAAACAATTGGCTAGAATCATCGATGGCCACGTAATCGTCAGGGTCGCGAGGAAATTGACATCGAGAGGGACTTGTGACGTGGCACACTCAAATCGGTGGAGGAGATTGCCGGCCTCGTTGAACAGCTACGCTTCGCTCAGCATATCTGTCCGCACACCAAGTGGGCAGCCTGGTATGATTATATACTTCCCGAGCATACGGAGGGACGAGGAAGCGATGCTCTTAAACGGCATACTTGCCTTTGGTCACACGGCGTCTCCTGTTCCGCCCCGGAGTGCAAGTGGACATCTCCTCGCCCAGGCTGTGTCTATAGCTGTGAATACTGCTTTACAGATTTCGGTTTGGTTAAATGCGGTATGCCCGACGGTGGAGAGCGAGCTGTGGAATTGTGGACATGGCACGACTTAGGCGACGGTAAGAAACCTGACGATGTGCGTTGGATGTCCCAGTATTACACTCGGGAGACCGGAGTTCGAGGGAACACATCCACGGAGAGTCCGAAGGATCGATTTGAGAGGGTGATGGGTGGCGAATTTTCGATGTAGGAAGGTATCAGTGTCTTATTAGATGTGATTGGCAACCGTTTGGGGGAGAGTTCGCCCTTCGCTACTCGGTTGAGACAGAAAGTTTGCGCACGTCATCGAGGCAGATCAAGTGGACTGGAACCCAGCAAACAAGGAAGCGACTCTACGCAAGTCCTTACCCCAGTTCTGTCCTGAAGAAGGATGGGTTAGGAGGGAAGCCAGTGTAAGGAGAAGAGGAATATCAAAATGAAAGGAGCCTTCTCCCAGAAGAATGAAGGCCCGAGAGAGAGACTAGAAGGAAGGGCGGGGAGGCATATTACGATACAATGACCCTACGCCTAGAAGAAGAAGTAAACGCAAAGAAGCATATTAAGATAGACGGTGTTTAAAAGAAGAGGAGGAGGTAGGAAGGGCTAAGAGAGATATGTTGGGCCACTCTTAACCGACACAAGCGCTACTCTCAAATGCCTCCGCCGCACTTGCCATCAAATTGCGTGCAAAGCCTTCTTGATCCCATCATGGCTCTGTGACAAAAGACCCATTGGGCAACAGTTGAAGGAGGGTAAAGCAATGTTGGGGGCATTTCATCTCGGGCCGATTCTTCCAACATGGGAGTCTGGCATTGCATTGGCCGACAGCGCACTCGCTCCGATCAGCACTTTCTCTCGGCTCCGACTTATTTAGACATGGACATATGGCCCGGAGGTAAGCTTACAAGCCGCGACGGGAAGTGACTTACAATAGCTGGCGTAAAGGCCGTATCCGGGAATGTAATTTGGATATGGACAAGACTCGTACATCCTCCATGCATGGGCTTGCGATGGTGGACATTCCGACTTTAACGGATGACGCACACAATCCTCAAGGCCGGGAGATATCGGCTGCTTTAGAGTCCCGTGTTTGGTTCATCTCGGAGTGGTCAGCCCGGACCAAACCCGCGCCCTTTCGTTGACAAGTCCCTGCACCGGCGTCCATAAGTCGGATCGATGCAATAGGCACAACCTGCACCTTCTCCGCAGAGCGGTGTAGCTTCGAGCCTGATATCATAGGGCTTTATAAGCGGCGTTGCAGCTATTGTCTACATTCTAACTCAACGAGCAAACGGTGTCTTCTTGACAGTTGATTTATTTCAATTAAAGACGGGAAAGATCCTTCCAAGTACACAAGGAAAGCGCCAGTGGTATGATCCGAGAGTCCCCCTTTTCCCTTTTTTTACGCACGCCTCAACATGGGCCCTCAAAAAACTACGACTGAAGCGGCAGAGTTGAAATCGGCACACAATAATACTCATACCCATGACTATCGTGAAACTCACGACCGCGCACCAGCTTCGGATGTTGACTCGATTCTAGAGGCTTCACGCGCGGCAGATACCGCTGTGCCGGAGGGTGGCTATGGATGGGTAGTTGTGGCAGGATTGACAGTGGTGGCCTGGTGGGTATGTGGCAAATGACTGCTCGTTGGGACATATCAAACAAGTCTCTTAATCCGTGAGTGTTGGGGAGTGTGGCTTCAGGCTGACTTTGTTACTCTTCGTATAGAATGTCGGCACAAGCTATAGTTGGGGTGTCATCCAGGTTGCTCTGATTCGCGAAGACGTGTCACCAGCCTCGACACTCTCTTTCGTAGGATCACTATCTGCGGCGATGGTCTCCGCCATGGCTTTGGCCAATGCCCGTGTCATTAGACGGGTAGGAGTTCGCTGGTCTGCCCTGCTCGGCATTTCGATCCTGGGCATCTCAGAAATTGCCTGTTCCTTCCTTGTGAGGAACATCATAGGCCTGTTTTTCACTGCGGGTCTAATCCTTGGTATTGGAAAGAGGTAACGTCTTCTGATACTCAAGCCCTCGAATCTGGAGGTTAGCTGACGTTGATTTGTAACATAGTCACTGTACAATGGTAAGCCTTGGCCGTCAGTCTGTCTTATCATTGAAAGTATGAGAAGCTAATGGTTATTTTCCCCTTTCGCCTCAGACTCAAGCGACAGCACCACCCCAGTACTTCCACCGCAAGCGAGGGCTAGCCAACGGCATAGTTGTTGCAGGCGGTGGGTTTGGCGGAGCAGTGATAAGTGTCGCATTGAATGCCTTGATTGAGAAGGTTGGGCTCGATTGGACATACCGCGTGCTTGGCCTTTCGACGATAGTGACAGGGCTCCCGGCCGCATGGCTGGTGAAGGAGCGATATCCTGTTCGCCCGTCGGGATTTATTGAATGGTAAGTAGTACGCTACAAAATAATAACAAATGGTCTTACTTCGTCGCTAACTTGAAATAGGCGTCTGTTCAAGGATCTCAATTTTGTGCTCATCCTCCTCGCTGGAGCAGCCGCAACGTTTCCTCTACTCGTCCCACCATTTTTCATTCCGCTCTATGGCCAGTCGATAGGACTAAGCTCGCGTGTCGGTGCTGCACTATTAGCCGCTTTCAACTTTTCGTCTGCCGTTGGCCGGATTCTTTGCGGCCAGATGTGCGACATGATCGGTGCGGTAAATACCCTATTTGTGTCGCTACTCATAACCGCCCTCTCGATGCTTGTGATCTGGCCGTTTTCCACCACGTTTGCGCCACTATTAGCTTTCTCTATAGTCAATGGGCTATCCAACGGCGGCTTCTTTTCCATTATGCCCACGGTGGTTGGGAACGTCTTCGGCTCAGCGAGGGTATCCGTTGCGATGGGGATGATTGTAACTAGCTGGGGAGCAGGCTATCTAATGGTAATTGATGTGCACCTCGATGCCAAGTTTACATATGTCCTCAATACTGATGATTCTTTTAGGGCGCACCGATCGCTGGTTACCTACTCGATGCTCACGGCGGACCGGAGAACGGATATAGGGCATATAGGTCGGCAATTCTGTATTCTGGGTCAGTAGCTCTAGCTTCCGCGATTCTCGTAGGGCTTGTGAGGGTGAGAATAAGCAGATCATTCCTAGCTAAGACATAGAGGTACTCCAGAGATAGACCTTAATATAGATTCTATATCTTGATGGTACCCCGGATCCAACATTGAGTATAAGAGTGGGTACCTGGATCTGGGACTGGTTGACTTCTTAACCCTGTGAGTCATGTCAATGTTAAGCGCGTCATTCACCTCAACTTCCACCCTTTCTCGCCCATTGCATCAGCACAGATGGCCTTCTTAAACCATGCCAATAGATATACCCGACAAGATAATTGTTACCTTCTTACAACTTCCTCTGCAACTTATCCGGGATGATATGTATCGACATGAAGCGAACTCGTTGATTTCGATAGAGAAGAGGACTTTCTTCAACTTTTACATATCGATACGTTAACCCTTGGCGGGCCTAACGGGATTATATGAGAGGATACGTGAGCATATTGAACAGCCTCGGTGTTCTTGCGAGAACAAACCAAGGGATGTTAGAGCAGCTCGAGGAGGAGTCTTTGCAACCAGGCTTCTTTCCAAGATATCATATTAACGAACTACCATTACTTTCTTAATGGCGACGACTCGTGTGTCCCACTTCCGTCCCGGGATGGTAGCAGAGATCAGGGCAAGGGAGATATCGAGGCGCCGCTCCAGATGGAGCGAAGGGGCTGGGCGCCATGTTCTAGATGTGCTACAATCCCACGCCTTTCATGACGCTGGACGCGCTGGCGGAGGTGCGAGAGAACGGGATGAGAGATTGACTGCCCGGCGCTTGGTGTGCGGAGTGCTTCGGCAAGGCTGGTCGCTGGAACCATTTCGTTATATTCCGGCTTCTACTTCACAAAGGCCAATGAGACCCCTAAAAGCGTTGTAAGCACTCAACCAGGGCCACAGAAGATCGATTCACGCTTCAGCCGGCACTTTTCTACCTCAAGGAAGGAGCCTCGTCAGTGTCGTCACCGGAGTCGCGCCTTCTTGTCTTGCTCAAAACCCGAATCCAAGGTAAGCCTTATCTACCAAATTTAGGGTCAAGATTTCCAAGAAAGGAACCTGCGGAGGTCTGTAGTCGTCATCGCTTGAACTTCTGGGATCTCCAATGGGACTATTTGGGTTCGATTCGCATAGCGGACGGGAACTTTTTTTTTCCTTATTTTTTGGACCACCCCCAACCCCCAACTTTTCCTCTTCCTTTTGTTATTCGTTCCCATTTGATTTCTCTTCGCTATTAGCTTTCTAGCCATTACCTCACCTGGCCAGGACCAGTGCTAGACCGGGATGAAGACCAGCGAGTTGCCTGTTGCCAAGGTGTAGAGGCCCATGAACGACGTGGTTATGAATAGTCGCCTCCCAAGTCTCTTGTACATATCTCTGTAGCCATCGTCCCACGGTCGCACGGCCTTAAACGCCTGGCATGGAACATCGTAGATCCGTTAGTGTAGCCCTTGGGCGTGTGATTCCAGCAGCGTATGTCCGATTCCACCGTGGGCACGTGGGCACGTCCCGCACAATCACATTACCAGCTCAAATAGCCCATCTCCAGAGCGTCCTCATAAACCATGTCAAGTTCCGGCACGCGAGATCGAGATAGATCATCCACATGCGCCTTGATACAGCCCCAACGTTCGTGCAACATTGGAAGCCGGGAGGCGGCCTCAGCCGTAAATGATTCCAAATCCTCCTCACACGCCTTCCATTCCTCTGGGACTTTCGCTGGTGTAAATTCAACAAACAACATGCCATCCGCACGCCAATCCTTACCACCCACGAAGAGAACATCATGGTGGTGTACGGAGATAGGACTTAACCATTTCCGGCATACAACCAACGTTAGCTGGTTTCTCACCACGTTCCACTGCATCGACTTGGACCTCATAAGTACCCCGTGCGACCTTTTCAGCTAAGTAGTGTTCTTTGCAGTCGTCAGCTGTGGCGTTTGAGACGAAGAATATATCGAGGCGATAACTACAGAGCTCGTGCCCTCGGAGGGTTTGAAAGAGCTCCACCCCGTTAAAGGAGTCTCGAGTAACATCTGTGATATAGACAGCAAACCCGAAGAGGCGGAGGAGCGGCTTGCCAAGCCAGCCCTGTGATATGCTTAAGGCGGGGCTGCCATTGTGGTCCTGGAATGGCACTTGGTGTATCTCGCTGTGCCTAATTCGTCTTGGGTGGGTCATCTTGCTTTCGTCGTGCGATGGTAGTTGATTTGAAGACATGTGGTGTATTGCTGCTAGAACCTGGGAAGAGGGAGGGCGTGGAGAATCAGAATCGCCACAAAGGTGAGAAAGGGAGCGAGTCTCTTTGATGTTGGGTTTCTATGGGGGCCGTTAAAGTCACGTGCTGAGGAGAGCGATCCGATCCACCGCTTCGTGTACGAAGTGCCACCTCATGTGAAACCCAAACTTAGGAACCGAGGAATTATAATACAAGTCTAATGTCAGTCAAACGATCTTCACTTATAGAGATCATCGCGTTCACCTCACGTATTTACATGAATCCCTACTAGTCATTAAATGGATATTTTGCGGAACTGGGCCCGATGCAAACCTCTTCTAGCACACGTTATGTTTTTGGGGGAGGATGGAGCTCATTCGATTTCGCCCAACCACGGCAGCCTGCCGAATGAACTTCCAGAGGAGACTTGGTACGAAACATATGAATTACCTTTTCCGCGCAAAGACTTTTATGCAAAAATCGACAAGGACGGACCAAGAATTGCAGGCAGAGTTAGGGCCCCATTAACTCAGGCCAAGAGCCTGCCTCCAACGGACAGCCTGCCTCCAGCAGCCCTCCTCACCTTCCTTCAGATACCTCCCAAAGTAGGAGATGTAAACTCGGTCCGTCCTTCCCTGAAGCTGGTCAAAATCACCAAGGATAAGAAGAACAACAGATCCCATTTCAACATGACCAGGGGCATTCTTACCAGCCTTCTTGACACCATTAAAGCCGATCCTTGGGCAATGTGGCTCATCAGCAGTCAGTATGACGGCTTTCACCACATGCGTGCGAACAAGACGTATAACGACACTTTCTACTTCGGCTGCTGGCATAGCGCTATAGCATGGACGTTCTGTCGGCAGAGCGCGTCGACAAGAGCTATATGGATCACGAGACAGGGAATCTCGGAGCATCGAGACTGGGATATGGATGACAAGAGAAATCCAATCCCAGAATTCCTGACTTCACTCGATTCCTATGCCCCGTTAACACACGTGCCATACGTTCTCGCGATAGCGTTGGCTCTTGCTACGATGCTGGACTATGACGCAAGGATACTTAGGCAGCTTCAGCAGATCGAAGAAGTAGAGGAGGGAACAGGATTTACGAGGAAGCATATGGTATCAGGGAATCTGGACCACGCTTACGACGTGGACAAATTGACGCAGTGGTCGAGACTTTGCTCCGGGCTACGGATTAATACAACCAATCTCCTTCGTCATCACGACAATTGCATGCGCTTGTTCGAGTACATTGCCGACTCCGAGAAGGAAGGGCCGAACCTTGCTGCAGGAACTACCTACAGTGGAGAGTACGATCGCTCAATGGCGGACATTCTGGAGATGACTAGAGTGTTGAAAATGAGAGCGGACAGCTTTTCCACCTACGCTAGCTATATTAGAGACCGAGCTGAGGCACAGGTCAACGTGGTATGTAAACAAACTCCTCTGGCTTTAAACTCCTGGTATGTCGCAGCAGCGTAGTAACTAATGATTATTTTAGATCTTCGCTCTCCTCACTCATGAGGATTCAGTTGCCAACCTCAAGTCCGCAGAAGCGTCCAAGGGGATTGCCGCAGCTGCCAAGCGCGATAGCAGTGCTATGAAGACTGTCGCCGTCATGACCATGGCATTTCTTCCTGCAACTTTCCTCGCAGCGCTATTTGCGTTGCCTGCTCTGGAATGGGCTAAGCCTGTGGTGGTGAAGATGGATGGCTTCGTGTTGTACTGGATCACCACAATCATTCTGACTGTGACTGTGTTTGTCGTATGGGGCATGATTACGCAAAGAAATTGGCTCATAGACAAAGTGAGACATCGGTGGCCCCGGGGAAGCCTAGATATTGACTGAGCTGGAACCTTGGTGAAAACTTAGCCGTATTGATTGTAGTAGGGAGAAGTTATATGTACGTTCCCGAATATTTATATTAGCTATGAGCGCTTCATGCTCAGGGCCAAAATAGAAGCATTCTTGAGCGGGGAGGTTTCTCGGTACCTCAAGGATAGAATAATGAATACGATGTATATTTAGGATAATCCCAAGATTCTTCCCTATCGCTTCACTACACCGAATGCTTCCTGCTTGACAAACGGCCAAGAAAGTTGGAGATGTCCTACTATCCCACGCGCTCTTTACCAATTCGGCAGATGCCTTCTTCGTCCCAATCTTCGCTCCCTACGCCCCTTCTCGTGATGAATAGCCCGCTAGGGTCCAGCTTCTGCTTCAACTCATACAGCCGGTGGTAGTTCTCACCCCAAAACGATGCTTGCCAGTCCTCCTCGTTCCCATCTGCCTCGTTCAGATACGCGCCCATATCATCCGGTTCAAATGCCTTTAGCATCGGAACGTCAGTGTGAGTGACCTGGTTCTCTACAGCCCGCTGGTCCTCTATAGTGGCATTGAACCCCCACGACGAGGCGACAACGATATGGGTCAGAGCCCTCCTCCATGCTGGGAGCAGCGCCGAGTCGATGTCGGCATTTCGGGCAACCTGGCCGCCCGCAATGGCATGTCCGATTACGCTAGTGGGTCCCCCATGCAAGTCAACAATTTTCCGCAAGGTCTCAGTTAGGCGAGCGGGACCATCAACCGTAGAAAGGAAGTCGCGGGAGATCAGACGAGAGGCTAACAGCGCAATACCACCTGTGACGTCGGCGCCATCAGATAGGAACTGCTGGATGATGAATTTTATTTGAGGCACAGAGACGAGCTCAAAAACCACAGAGGAATTTCCCACATGGCCGTTCATATTCGTTACCATGGGCATCAAGAGGCTACGAACCGCTGCCTCGTCTGTCTGATTCGCGAATATCATCGCACTTGTCAGGTTAGAAATGGAAGCGGATCCATTCCCACCGTCTGGAGCCGTGTTTATGAAGTAGTACGCCGAAGCACCAGCGTCATTGATCTGCGGGAGATTCGTGTGGAATTCGCGAATCGTCTCCCAGAACCCGGCCGTGTTGTTGGTGCTTACCACCACGCTCGCCAAGTGTGCTGGCACATCGGGAAAAGTACGCACGGTAACATCAACGACGACTCCGAAGGTACCTCCGCCGCCGCCCCTAAGTGCCCAAAAGAGGTCTTGGTTCTGATATTCGTTTGCAACTACAAGGTCGCCCTATGATAGGAAATCTGTCAGCATTCTTTTCTCCTCTCCATAAACGCAGAGGTGCAATAAGTTCAGAAGTAAATAAAAAAAAAAAAAAAAAAGAAGAAAAAAAACCGACGGAAGGGAAAGTACTCACGTCTGCGTTGACTACCGTAAACTGGAGAGCATTATCCGAAGCCATACCCTTCCACGTTCCCAGAGGAGAATGGCCGCCTCCCTGAATGTATCCGCCCGCCGGCCCAACCGTGTGTGCAATGCCGGCTACTACAGTAAGATTCCGCTCCCCGACGGCCTTGTACAAATCCATGAGGTAGACGCCGGCACCAATGGTAACGGCAGAGCCCAGAGACTGGACCTTGCGCTTCTGCGCCTTGTAGCCGGCGGGGACTGTCGGCGCGAAGTCCGTAACGAAGTCTAGGCTCTTCAGTTTGTGCGTGGCGATGCGAAGCGAATATGGAGCCGATGACCGGCCGAGGTAGCAGTGTCCCGTATTCTTGATGGCGAGTCGGATGTTGTGCTTCTTAGCGAACCGGACGGCTTTCTGGATATGCTGCGCGTTCTCGACCTCAGCGGAGTAAAGTGGCACGCGTCCCTGACCGCAAGCGATGGTGCGACTTGAGCCTACGTAGCAGGTCTCGTTGGCTGCCACCAACGCCTCCCAGTTCACATTCTGTACGGCGCCAGGATTGATGCCCCTCCAAACGGAGTTGGTTGTTTGGTTTGCAACGGCAAGGCAGGCTTCGGCGTCAAATGTCGGATCGTGACAGGGGAGACCGACAGGTTGTACTGCAAGGAGGTTACCGCTGATGGAATTATTGAATTTTGCCCATTCTGAATCCGAGGGCCAGCATGAGTCTGTTGGACGACATCGGCATTTACGGTTATGAGGCGAGGCTCCAATCACCGTGCCGATTAAAAGCAGGGAATCGAGAAGAAACGTTCTAAGCATGGTAAGGCGTGCTCTTTTTCTTCTTCTCTATTTTGCCTTGTGAGTAAATAGCTAGCTTCTAGATGAGGAGTTATGAAGGCGGTCATCATCTTTTTATATTTCAATCTATAATATACAATTTCCTACAAAATAATCGCCGATGATGGCAGAGTTAGAGACTTGATCGAGTTAATTCCGAAGACACACTAGTATGTCTTACAAAAGAGCGCGTTATTGGGGGCAAACCAACTCCCTTTCCTTGGTTGAGGGGAAGATCCTCATTCCAAGTTCCAGGCCGAAGACGCGTCATTCGTTCCAAATCGGGGGGTTAGGTTGCAGAAGAAGAAATAAATAAACTGAAAAATAAGCAAACGGGGACTTCGTTGCTCCGTCCCTTGTTTTATATTGACAATACGACGAAAACGAGGTCCAATACGATGAGAGCGAACTTCTCAATTCGTGGTCGGTGGCTCAGCTTTTACCACTTACCGGTGCCGTGGATCTCAACCGTTGTCAAATGGCCGCCCGCTATTAGGGCAAGAAAAAAAGGACAACGCTACCCAAGTATTTCAAACACTGCACACTACGTGACTGGGGCTCCAACATTGGTTGTCATCAACGTCATGTTTCGTCACCAGGGCTTAGCAAGGCTGACTCGAATCGCTCCGGTATTACGGAACACGTCAGAACTCTCGAGAAGTACGAGGAGGTGTCCTTATGAGCGGATTTGACTTATTCAAGGCCTCTGCAGGTAGTTTCTGTTCGCATCTAACTTGAATTCCAGAAGGATTGTAATGTAGGAGGAGGAGCTGTGGACTTCTCATGGATGAACTCGTCCATCAAAATGAAGAGGATCCCACCCACCTCTCGAACCCTCCAGGGAAACCAGAAACACAATGCACAATGTGTTCAGGTTCAAGATATCGACATTCTTGTCTTGAGCACTTTTTGCTTCCTCAGTTATACCTTGCCTCACCTCAAGTCGGCAAAGGAGCTACACCCGCCCTCTCTATAGCCGGTACATTAGGGGTCGAGAGAGTCGACGAGACGCTTGAGCCTCATCCTGCCTGATGCCTTCCATCAACCAGAGCCAGACATGTGCCAAGTGTGTCTTATCCACCATGGGTAGAGGCACTCCATTTTCATATAATCAAGAAGGTAGGCCGTTCCTACTTATAGAACCTTCTGTGTCGTGCCTGAACTTAGGCTTAATAGTGGGTGTGCCTTCCTTCTCCTCTCCCCATAGCCGGATGCCCTATTTCTCTGCTTTTAAGGTTATATACTCTCCTTATCCATCCTCTCATCCCTATCCCTCACTCATCTAAGCGTCCCTTCAGATCCTGCTCCTGTTTAGTTAAGGACACCATCAAAATCAACAGATATGAGTTCCTCACAAAAGCAGCAACCCCCATCTGAAGATAGGGAGCTGAATACAGATTGCATTAGCGATTCCAGAGAAGTGGGCAAGGGTTCTTCGAAGAAGCCCTGTAGAACCACGTCGCATGCTCAGACATCCCAGCACAAATATCACTTCTAGAAAAGCTTGAAGACCAAATGCTTTTACTCCGGCAAGACGGAGATATTCCATTACAAGCTTCAAACCAAACAGAAGAGGCCATAGAGCCACTTCAGACTAATACAGATTCTCCAACATCCAGCACAACTCCACATTCCTCAACCTCATGTAACATCTCAAGCTCTAAGGCCACATCCCGTCACCCAATAAAGGAAAAGAGCTAGGACTTGCAGGAAAAGCCGCCCCCCCCCCCCCCCCCCCAAAAAAAAAAAAAAAAACAAAGTTCCTAACCAACTCCAGCTTATTAGTACTCTCGCCAAAACACACTTAGCTAAACCCGAGAGTAGCTTAATAAAGAGTAAAGATCAAGTAGAATCTCCACAAGGAAAGAGTATATCTCTAAAGATCCAAGATATAGAAACTCCAAAAGATAGTCCTAACCCTATCACAGAAGATATACATCTATCAACTTCAGGTAAGCTTATCAATTCTGCTCCAGGTTGTGAATTGACAGCTAAATCGAGCAACACTAAACACCAGATGCAAGGCAAAGAGCATGCCGAATTATCGGAAGATGATTCGGATTGTGATTTAATTCTAGGAACCCAATAAAGGCGGCGGATACGCCCATATCATTACCGGCGCGGTTGTCGACGGCACGCCTCCCCTTTTCTCTGGCGGGATTCTTGCGGATGATACGGGTCTTGTAAATTCCGCATCTCTTTGTACAAGGATGGAGATTCGTGTAGAAGTGGCTGGGCCATCTTTGACCGACCACGACCAATGATCTGAGGTCGCGCGTGTCCACGCGGATGTCCACGCGGATGATCGGACGTGGGAACCTCGCGTCGATGCGGACAAGCTATAGCGCGGCGCCATGCTCCCCATTCCCCTCGTGCAAAAAAGGGGGAAGGCACCATTCCTTACCCGTATTCGATAATCACTCATGCATCCTGGGCGCCTGTCTGTCTTGAGCAGAACGAGGCAACTATCTAGGAGCTCAAACTTTATCGCACTTGATCGCATCACGTTTTTGAACAAATGGCTGGATCAGTACCTATGAGAGGGCATAAACTTCGTCAGGACTTGGCTCCGCCGGATCTTAAGGATGGCTATGGCATCTGGGGGAGGAAAAGCGGCGGAGAACAGTCTGAAAGGGCAGTAGACCCGATAACGGCGTGTCTGCGGATACGGTAGACTCCACGACTGAGGGCAGTTCGAGCCCCAAATAGTAGTTTTGGATACACGGCCCGTCTCGCTTGCTGGATTCAACGAGTTGAAAAGGCCCGAAGTGTCACCGCCTATCGAATAACGTCTGTCCCACTGCCTTCCTGGCTAAGGGGTCTGGGCTTTCGAGGCAAGATTACTCGAGTTGCAAGGCGAGGAAATCAAGAGTGTACTGTCTCATTCCGATTTCGCATCAAAGATCCATGCAACCAAGTGCGGAAGCTTGGCTTCGAGGAGGAATTCATCATACGGATTTGCTCACCAGACCCACCCTTCGCCATCCGAACCTTTAATTTTGTCCCTGGGGACTCCCCTTTTCTACCTCCTCGTCCCTCCCGAGGAGACAGTCCTAGGCAAGACGCCCAAGACAACCGAGTTCTTGCAGCTTTTACAAGCCAACATGTCCGTCTATTTGGACGTTGAGGCGCGAGATCCCCAGGGTTTAAGCGTTGTCGACTACGTTGTGCGGTTCAGTACTGGCGAGGAAGTCAAAGCGTTGCTGAGGCTCGAGGCACAGCGGGCCCCCGGCCTCACAAAGCACAGGAGCGACGAGACCGAGGCCAGCGAAAACGTTGACCCGTGGTAGTTTCAAGACAGCGTCATCAGCCAGGCTATCGCGAGTGGGAACACTTCTACGCTTTTTGCCTTGCTAGCGATGATGCCCCGCCATAGGATCGACTCGAAGTATAATGGCGGCGAGTGGATGATGCTGTACCACGCAGCGTATCTCGGGCGTGATGACGTCGTTTCGATGTCTGTTCAAGGCCGGGGCTGAAGAATTCTACGAAAGTGTAGAAGAACAGCTTGAATTAGATGTTGGGACACAGGACAGCGTCAAGAGTCAAAGTCTGGCGTTTACATACAGCACTTGTATGCGATATCTCCTTGATAATAGGCAGATCAATACTGGGAAGTTTCTCAGTCGTCTCATTATTGCTCTCGTCATGCATGTATCACAAGCGGGCACTAGGAGACTGGGGCGACATTACTGCTTGTTAGCAGCAGAATGAGAGGCCACCTGACCCACCAATGGCAGCGTCTTTCGGGCGGGTCGTAGTTGGCTCTGACGAGTAGGCACCGCGCTGAGTTGAGTATCTCTGCTCGAAACATTTCGAGGCTGAAGCGCAGTCTCCTCGCCAATTGGCCTATCGCTCCATCCAATGTATGGGCATCGCCCTCCGAGACATGCCAGCAACGGGAGTCACCAGGTACCCGAAATGAAAGTGAAACCTAATTTTGTGAGGTTACATCTCTTAACAGAACCAATACCTGTATAATTTCATTCATTTCCTCGCTTCACAGTCATTATCTCCTTCTATCTTCCCTTCGCTTGCCCTTCCTATTCCGTCTTCTTCGCAATCCCTTAGCCCCGCAGTCAACCCACCGCTTCAACCTCGACATCAACCATAACATACTCCCCTAGATCCTCCATATTTGCCGCCGTTGGCTCATACCACCATAAAATCCACCCCCAAGACCTCTTCGCCAGGATCCAATGGTTTAACCCGCTCGGGTCCTCCCCATACCTCAGCAATATCCTGCCCCCGTTCTCGACAACGCGCCACTCATCGTACAAGATCGACGCCCCGATGCCCTGCGGCGTGGGGTCATCGAGAGCTACGATGCGGTACTCGGCTTTCCCTGCTGGTCCCTGGAGGGCCAGGAGCTGGGGATTTGTTGGAGGGGGCGAGGATGGGGATTGGACCACGACGAGGGTTGTGTAGGGATTCGGAGAGCATGGCGAGGGAGGAGCTGGGCGGAAGTAAAGCGGCCTTGGGGCTGGGGTGGGACTTGGGAGGACATAAGCCGCTTGGGTGTCGTCGAAGGAGACGACCTGGTTGTGAACTTGGGAATTACCGCTGCCTTGAGTGTTAGAATAGGGCTGGAGTTTAGGGTTCTCTCTTGCGGAGAAAGGTACATGAAACGTACGCATAAATCCGCAGTTGATAAGTCTCGTTGTGCTGGAGCACTGCTGCCATCGTGGATCTCGCTAGAAGGAGAAAAAACAGAATGAATATCATGGTGGTGGTGGGTGTGAATATTCCTCAAATAGATACTCTGGGTATCCAACAAAAGCGAGAGAGGAAGAAAACAGAACAGTGAAGACGAGCCAAGGAGATCCTTAAGTAGATTTACCTTTCACTGAACGAAGTCTCTCCGGTATGCTAGCTAGCAGCTCTTCATCCGAGTTGGTGGGGCTGTGAAACTGTGTCTTACGTCTTGGATATTCCTTGGAGATCTTGTTCGCCGACCCTGCAACTTCTCGGCACCAGCCCCCGCCTTGTCTTACCCTCCGTCCGTGTAAAAAAGAAAATATTCGCCGACTTCCGCCCTGTCTCGGATGCCCGGGTGAACAGGGATGAAGAGGGGTCGGGGTTGAGCAGAAGGCTAGGATTTAGCGAAACCCAAAAGGCTGGGATACGATGAGGACTCACCAACACTAAGCATATCTAAGTAAATGCGGGGATATTCCTCAATAAAAGGATGTGATAAAATCTCCACCCTTAATCCTATTATAGCTATACATTGGGGCGATCTAGGGAAGAGGGTCATAGATGGTGAAAGGAGTTTCAATACTTGGGGTTGATTGATGTGTATATTTCCCTTTACAGTATCTAGAGCATGAAACCTGCGTCGATGACAATGTTTACGCCTGTCATACTTCTCGACCTCGCAAGAAGGAGGACTTGTTCTGCTACATCCTACACAAGAACATAAATATCAGAAACCAAGCTGTATGATCCGGGGAAAAAGAAAAAGGAAACTTACCTCAAGTTCAACGAAACGTTTCAGCTTGGTCTTTTGCCGATGAGACTCTTTTTGCTCAGGTGAGAAACGAGTTGCCCACTCCTTGTCAAAGGTTAGCTATGCTCTCAAATTGCTAGGCTAGGAGTCGCGTCTTACTGTCTGAAGTAGTCCGGGAGAAATACTGTTCACACGAATCTTTGGTGCCACCATACAAGCTAACCCCTTGACCATGTGTATCTGAGCGGCTTTCGTAACAGAATAAGCCTTGAAAAGTGTCATCTTATGCACCTGTCGGGGGAGAGTCTGGCTTGATAATTACCAGAGAGCTGCCCATGCCGCTTATGCCTGCGAGCGAGGAGGTGGTTATGAAAGCTCCCTCTGTTTCGTCGAGGTACTCCTTCGAAGCATGTAGAAGCCACAGGTGGGACTTGACGTTCATAGTGAAAGCTCGGTCCCAGTCCTCCTCGACAACATTGTCTTCTACGGACGTCGTGTCACGAAATCTCGTCCATCCCCCGTTAGAAAAGACGACGTCGATGCGACCCATTGCAGAGTGCACCTCTTTAACGAGCCGCTGAATGTCGGCCTGAGCGCCCAAGTCGGCTCGAATCGCAACATATTTGGCGGCTTCGCAATTGCCCGGTTCCCGAGTACTTTCTTCGTTAGATAGCTGCGCAACTAGACTCTCTGCGCGTTCGGTGTTAGAGCTGTAGTTGATAGCAACATTGAACCCGTGTTTTGCAAAAGTCTTGGCCACCGCCGCACCCAGGCCTGCACTGCCGGCAGTGACAAGAATAACGGGAGCCGACGTCATGGCATGGAAATCTCAACGTAGATGCAAGAACGTGTCCTCGACCGGATGGGAAAGGGTGCCGTCTTTCGGTAGCGTGCAAACCTAGAAAGCCTCGCGAAAAGTAGCAGTGCACCGTATTAAATGCGCTGTATCTTAGTAGCTGTGGACTTGTAAAGGCACTTACTTTGGAGGCCGAGATAAATAATACCAATGCGTTACCGGGTACTTCGTATCATCTTATTGGGTCGTCCGGCGTTGCAGAACGGGCTAACCTTTGCGGCAATTGAATTTATGAAGGACAATCCGAACGGGCGCATTGTGGACTCTCTTTCGTTCACCTTAGCAACTTACGTGATATGTCGGAGTCTCCGACGTGATCCATCTTGAAGTATCTAATCTATATCAAGTTAGAACAGCCACTGAGAGAGCAGAGGGGTCATCCGATACGGTCTAGCCTGAAATAGATTAGCTACCGGTCTATTTTCCTGTGGTAGACGTAGACTGTGGCATATTCTGGGGTAGCCTTGTCAATGTTCTCGGTCATGAACGTCGGAAGTGCGATATAACGGTGCGCACTCAAACTCGCGTGTCCCTTGAAACTCGTTCGATTCTTCCATAAGTACATAAATACTGCACATGTATCCATTCCCTTCCATTAATTTTGTGTTAACTTGATTCCAAAAGTTCACAAATCTACCTAGATCCCGGAACGCCGGCGCGCCCCGCCCTCGCCGGAAACCGAAAACAAAATTTCCCTCGTCCAGGATTATTTGAGTGAGATGGCGACTCCGTCCCAGAATAGGATGGATAAGCAGAAGAGCTTGGAGAGATCCCAAACCTCGAATTCGCTAGAAAAGCGGTATGCGGACAAGGACGCCGAGCAACTGCCCGGCTGCGCCACTCCCAGGACCTTGACAGACGCTTCTCTGTACTGTCTGCCGCGTCCTTGTGCATGTGTCTGTTAGCAACCTGGGAAGCGGTATCAGCGGTTATCTCAACGGCTCTCATATCGGGGGGCGCTCCATGCCTGTTCTACAACTAGTATGCACCGCAAGAAAAAAAAACGGGGGATGATGATTATGTGGGCAACTCTATTGACTATATCTTTTTACAGTGTTCTCTCATTCCTACGCACGGGGCCGAAATCGCATCGATTTATCCGACAGCCTGAGGTAACTTACCACCACATACGTACGGCGCTATAACGTTCCCACTGGCTCTTTACTGACCGGTATATATTAGGTCAATATCACTGGGTTGGGGTGTTGTCTCCAGTTTCTTCCCGTTCGGCTGCCGCATGGTTCACGGGTTGGATTTCGATCGGTGGGCAGGTCCTTTTGACCGCAGCCGCAGCTCTTGCGGGTGGTCTGCAGACCCAGGCACTCATCATCATCAACGACGATTCCTATGTCCCGGAAAGATACTAGGGCATGCTATTCTACTGGGCCTTGCTTATTTACAGTGCCGTATTCAACACCTTTGGATCGAATATCGAAATTTCTGCCCCATACGGACCACATCTCAGGTACTTAATATTATTACCAAATGTCAGGAGAGAATGCTAAGCTAATTATACCTCAAGGCATCATCCACGTCGGAGGCTTTGTTGCAATTGTCATTGTCCTCGGCGTCATGGCACCCAAAAACACTGCGGACTTTGTTTTCAAAGACTTTTCCAACGAAAGTGGTTTGGACGAATGACGGTGTCTCGTGGCTTGTTGGGTTGCTCAGCACTGTTTATCCATTCTTGGGGTTCCTAACGGATTTGCAAAGATGCCAAATATCCCTTTGCCTCCAGATCCGATTTATGGCTACTAACGTCTCTTCAGGTACGACGCGGCTTGTCATATTTCTGAGGAGATCCCATTTCCATCACGCAACGTCCCTTTGGCCATGATAGGATCAGTTCTTGTTAACGACCTCACGGGTCTGGTATACGTGATACTCTTGCTCTTTTCAACAATCAGCTCTTACGGCGTCTTCAAATTGGGCAAGACGTTGGGCATCACGCTGAATATTATCAGCATTATCTGGATCATCGTCGTTGTCATCTTTAGTGCTTTCCCAACCTCCTTGCCTGTTACGGCAGAGAATGCCAACTATTCGCCGGTTGTGATGGCCGGCTGGCTACTATTTGGATCGATATATTATGTCCTCTATGGAAGACAGAAGTTCGATGTGCCTGTCGTTAGCACTGTTATTGTGGGAGTTCCTACTGCCGTATAGGTATGTGGCGCAATGGATATTCACCGTCGCGCTGGTGCCCTGGCACGGGGAGTGTGGTGAGGTGTAATTCCTTTAAAGGGCCGAAAGAGTTGCGCGCATTTGGAGGACCGAACTTCGGTCGGTATGTCGATTATACTTCGACATTCTGATTGAATAAATGCGCACTTGCTAGATATAGTGCTAGCCTCGCCTCGAGGCGAACCTAGAATCAACCGGGGTTGATACAGTTGTTACCCAAACAGAATAACAGCCACTTCACTTAAGGTAGACGGAACTGACTGTCGAGTCGCAAAAAAATAAATAAATAAAAATAGAAATAAATATAAAAGCCGCATTTTTGAAACAGTGAGAACCAATTATCGAAACGCAGAATGCTTAGTGGCCTTCATGAATACCTGCCTTCATAAAGGTACAATAGGTCATTCATTCCGATTATCATATGTCCCTCGTCATTGTACGTCCTGGAAGCCGCAGACCTCTTTATACCGCCTAGATATCTCCGCAATCATGGCCCGGATCTTCTTCGCCGCCAAGAACTTGAGCCCCAAGGTATCAAAAAGCTGTATAGCGAGGTCGAGGTCGGCGATAGCCCTCGTCTCCCTTAAGACGGTGCTCAGATCATCGGGTTGAGCTGTTATTGCGTAGACAAGCGATAGTGTTGATGTGAACAAGGAGAGGAAATTTAGCCAGTTGTATGCGAACCGTTGCTGCTGATGCATGCTGTAAGCTTGGCGGAGAGACATGGATGCTGCCATCTCTAACACCTTGATTCGTTTGAAGTCTGAAATGGGACACAGCGGAGATGGCCTGTAGATCATGGCGAGATGAGTGTAGTAGTTGAAATCGTACCAAGTAGTGTTCAAATGGGGCACCCTGTCGTTGACATCTGGAAGCGGGAATGGCATGCTCCGGCGCCAATCGAGAAGTTCTTGATGTAATGACGAAGTTATTTCCTCACGCTCTTGTGCCGTCAAGTTTGTGTTCTTGACATTTCCGTAGACTTGACGTGAGATCTTGCTTGCAATTCTCCGGAGTGAGAGAATGTGTAGTGGAACTGCCATCAAGGATGGTTGAAGGGAGCATTGAGGGTTTATCCCGTCAGGGTTGATAAAATCGTCATCGGTATTCTTGAAAGGCTATTCCCACCCGGTTAGTCCTTTCCCCCAACCCCATTATTTCAGCAAGCTATATGTTTAGCAAGATTGGTCTCACCGATACGTCTATGTCGTCGTCATGTAGTGCGAATGGCCGGCCCAAAGCGATGGAAACGACGCTGGTCCCAAAATGTGCTGTTAGCTGTCTAGATCTAAAAAGAAAAGAGAGGGGATGAGCTGATTTGTATGAACTCACCGATCCATCATATAAATTGAGAAGAAGACCCGCTTACGTCTTTCCTGGACGTCGATAGGCAACTTGTCGTATGTTGAGGACGTATGTAGTCCCATCCCCAGTGCCAGCCGAGCAGCTATACCGACAAGGAACCAGGTATCTATTCCCGTTAGCGCTTGAGGTTACTTTGGTCAACTGTCTGTCAGTGGTCACTAACTTGGGCCTAATTGGTTGAAGAAGGAGTATGAGACTTGGAGCATTATAACCTCCAAGGCGGACTAGACTCTCGTCAGTTCCGTGCTCGCTGGCGCTCTAGCTATTCCCAGACGTAATAACACGTACCATTTCATCACTTCCCAGGATCTGTTCGGAATACTGCAGAGCCTTGTTATAAAAGGATATGGATTCCGACTCCTCGGTTAGGGTTACAGAAGAGTAGGCGGTGGAGCCGATGGCAAGGACCATCCAAATCCTGAAGAGCTTGAGAGGAGATTGTGCGGCTAGGTTCTCAGAGTTATGCCGGATCTTCTGGAGCGTGTCTATGACCTCCGCCCTTTTCAAGATGGGGTACAAGGTATGCGAGTGGGTGAAATAGAAATCTACGAGTCGTTGGACATGAGCCTCATCGCTTAGCAAGGTCATAGAATCGAGGGCCACGTTCGGCCCGGCGAGGTCGGCGAAGAAGAGGTCGCCAAATAATAGTGGATGGACGGAAATAGATTCGCTCAAACTTCGAAAGAAGGTGTCGTTGAATAGTTCGGAAGGGGAATTGATGTCTGAGAGTGCGTTTCCAGCAGCGTTTGCAGTGTTGTCCTGATGGCTGATAAATACAAAGTCTGCCTTGTCTGGCGTCAGACGTCGTAGGATCATCTGGGTCAATTTCGCAAATGAGAGCCCAGAGGTGGATCCCAGATGTCGTTCAGCCGTGGCTTCGAGCGAGAGCGTCGTGAGCTCCTCGGCAAAGGTTGGGGATTGGCCAGGCGCGGCTCGGGAGCCGAGTCGAGGCTCCCGAATCGGACCTTCTGCATTATCAGCTGCGGTAGATGCATTGGCTGCCTCACTCCCGTAAGCGGATCGAGGCGAGCTGCATTCTTGATCCAGTAACACTGTATTCCCCATTTGAAAGTCGGCATAAGGTTGGCTGTCGCTGAAGAGGACCGTCATCTCTCCAGCCGAAGGCGTGGGCCGTTTATCGACGGCCGCGGTGTTCTCCAGGCGGCGAAGTTTTTCTTCTAGACCCCTTACGTATCTGCCAGTATCTCTTAGCGACTTTCCTCGAAACATTTTAGGTTGAGCAAAGCAGAAGACAAAAAGGCCGAGGGTTGTCCCGCCATCCCCAACCCCCATTAGTTTTGTAATGCACCCCTTCCCAGAGGTGACTCACGCTATAGGGTACGAGGCGGTTTGGTTATCGTCGTCTTCGAAGCTGCATCTGACTCGTGCTGAGGCGCAGTTTTTGCATGACGGCAAGGATCTGTCGCATCTCTTCTTCCTCTTATGGCATCGGGAGCAAGATGCCCGTGCCCGTGCCGGAGCCGGAGCCGGAACTGGAGTTGTGTTGATATCGGGCGCCATTGGAGAACGGGGGCGGCAAATGACGAGAGGGAAATAAGCGGACAAGACAAAGCCGGAACCGCCTTGTTGCGCGGCCCACGTAGCTTCTTTAGCGTTTGCTTATCGACCCCTCAGCGAGCGCGGGCACATGATGGGGACCCCTGGAGCTCGAAGTCTGCTGCCTTTATCTTGCTGTCTTTATCTTGCTATCGTTATCTTGCTACTCTTTTCTGGTTGCTACTCCGTATGCGGACATGCAGGGTTCCACTTTCCCCGCATTCTGTTTCGCGCTATCCGATTCGATCTAGCCCAAAACCTTCCCCAGAGATAGCACGCATGACAAACGAATGGATCTCATTAGTTGACTGGGATGTGGAATAAAGAATAAGTGGTGATGTGTGGCCCAGTGACAGTCTCCGTTGACCCACCATCTCATTACGACTGAGACGCATTAGTGGCTTGACGGTGTTGAAGGTCGAATCTTCGTTTGCCTGTATAGGATGCTAGCCTAATAAGCTGCTCCTTACACTAGAAGTCTGTTAATATACAGTACGAAAGGCTCGGTATGCCAAGCAACCTACACCAGGAAGCCCAACGAGGCTGTTCAAGGTACGGCACGGGAAGGGAAGTGGAGAACTCTAACTCTCCGTGGGAGGAGCGATTTACAATGACTAGGCAATGTTCGATGCCTGGGACTCATGCATAGTTTATGGTCGCGTTCTTACTTGATCGAGGAGGAGTCGCCCGAACACGGTTAGCCTCACTTACATCACATTCCCGACACTCGTCGGCCTGTCCGACAGGGAGATGGGCGCTTCGCATGGAAAACCTTGTTAAAATAGCTGAGTGCCACAGCTCGTGGTCCACCAAAAGCGCCGTGACAAATCTTAGAGCAACTTGCCCGTCATGTCTTCTCTTAATACTGAGAGCCTGTTTGGGGTGAAGGGATATGTGGCAGTCGTGACTGGGGGTAGTAGTGGCCTGGGTTTTATGATCGCTACAGCATGTGCATCACCTTACACCTATTCGAAATCACACAACCCTTGCCGTTTTACGCTATTGCGCCCTGACATACTGACTTGACCATCCTAACAGGGGCTTGTTACAAATGGAGCGAAAGTGTACGTCGTCGCTTTACCAATTGAGCCGATCGACGAAAGAGTTGCGGAACTCAACGAGCTTGGCAAGGCATCTGGAGGATCTGCACATGGGCAAGCTGCGACCATGACCATCTACGAATATATAATAGGTACCAAACCAGTACTGATTTTACCAATCCAGAATCCCCTGCGATGTCTCTGATAAAACGGCTATCCAAAATCTTGCTGCCCAGATCAGCCAGCGAGAAACACGCCTCGATATTCTTATTTCCAACGCGGGCATCAGACGAGATCCTCCCGTCCAATGCGACGTATTGACGGCATCCTTATCTGAGCTGCAGAAATCAATGTGGTCCTCGAGACACTCGGACTGGGCCGACACGTTTTGCGTGAATACCACTGCTCATTACTTCCTCTCCGTAGCATTCCTGCCCTTGCTAGAGGCGGCCTCTCGGCTTGATCTTGGCGATGGTCGGCTCGGCAGAAGTGAGGGTCGGGGAGTGGTTGTTATGACAAGCTCGTGTGCGAGCATGCACAATGCGACAAACATAGACCTGACCAGCTACGCCACGAGTAAAGCCGCGACTGACCACCTTGTCAAGCTGCTGGCGGCCAAATTCAGCCGCTTTTATGTACGAGTGGTGGGAATAAACCCAGGTTGTGAGTGATCCCAGTAGTTAACAACGAAACCACACACTTGACACGATTGGCTGATCAATTCAGTTGTCCCAAGCAGCATGAACCCTATTGGGGAGGAAGGAAACCTCTTCAGTGCCCTTTTCGATCAGGTCCCTGCCAAGAGAGCAGGAAACGAGGATGATATTGCTGGCACGATTCTGTATCTCGTCAGCCGTGCCGGAGTAAGTCTTCATCTACCCTCAGAATCGGGACGATGCTGATGTCGTGTGTTCAGGCCTACGTCGATGGAATATCCCTTTGCGTAGACGGTGGTCGCGTTCTTCTGGCAAATGGTCAGGAGTGATGGCACAAATTGAAATTGCTGAGCAGGGAAATATTACTTCACATTTCGGAGATATGCCACTGAAACTACGTATTATATTCAAACTATTAGTTTTACAGGGTCAATCGAAGTTCATCACCGTCATTTGTCTTGGCCTTTAAATAATATCGAGTCTGTTGTGGAAAAAATTACATTGAACACGAAGCTGAGGACAATGTTCGGAGAGGTTAATGAGGAGGGTAATAAATATAGTAGAATCAGACAGAGAGCCGATTTGACAATAACTTGGGGGAGAATATTGGGGGGGGTATTTTTTTTTTCCTTTTTTTTTTTGGGGGGGGGGGGCCATACGCTGTCGGCTCAGCCGACAACAGTGAAAAATACCCCTGAGCATCTCAATAGAGTATTATCTATTAGTTCCGCTAAGGATCCCTAGAGACTGTGACTTAAGCGAGAACAATACTACCCAAAACCATTCCTGTTTTCTTTCCAACTCGGCCAAAATTTGTTTTAAGAAAATGTCCATCATATCGCTCTCGGACGGAGTAGGGTAAGCAACAGCTATGCAAATAGGCTTCCATGATGTATTAGCTAACAAGCGACGTAGCTCCGACATAAACGGCCGAGACCTACGGGCACTTGCAGCTCAGCTCCGCGTTGAGACTCTGGATAGTCAAGACGCCGAAGATTATCTTACACTACTGAGGTCGCTCGAGGCGGTCATGAAAAGAGTTGATGATGCGCCCGACTATATCGCACCGGAACTGCTTCCTCACAAGACGTTGGAAGCTCGTAGGTTTTGGAGACCGGCATCAGAGGACAACCCGTTTAACGCCTGGAGTCATCAATGCGATATAAGATCCGCATCTCCAACCAGCAATTTACTGGCCGGACGTACTATCGCCATCAAGGATAACATATCTGTCGGAGGGTTGCCAACAACCCTCGGCGTGCCCCGATCATTATTCCCTCAGGCTGACGGATACCCACTTTCACCTATCGACGCAATCGTGGTATCACGTATTCTTGGATCCGGCGGTATCATTAAAGGAACATCAACTTGCGAAAGCTTCTGTGCGTCTCCCTTGTCCTTCACCTCGGCGACAGGGCCGGTTCATAATCCCCTTCTGCACAATTACACAGCGGGTGGAAGCAGCAGCGGCTCTGCAGTCCTCGTCGCGGCCCACCGCTTGGCATCAACCGAAGATGGCTCGTGGGGTCACACTGTTGAGCTTGCCATCGGCAGCGACCAAGCCGGGTCGGTGCGCATTCCGGCTTCCTACAATGGCATTTACGGACTGAAGCCCACGTTCGGTCTTGTTCCCTACACTGGCGCAGCGTCGATGTCTCCCATGATAGATCATCTGGGTCCACTGGCGGCAAAACTTGAAGATCTTGCTGTCATGCTGGAGGTTATGGCGGGCTACGACGGCTTCGACCCGCGAATGACTCCAGAAAGCCCCTTGGCGCATCAAGTAAAACCTTACTTGAGCATGCTACTTCGGGCGCGGCAAGAGGCGCAGTCTACGCCAAAGCTGAGTCAGAGACTGAGGGTTGGTCTCTTAAAGGAATCCTTCTCCATGCCCGGGGTTGCTTCCGATGTGCGAGATACCGTCTGCCAGACAGCAACGCGATACTTCGAGGCTGTCGGTGCTTCTGTCGTGGAGGTATCCATCCCGCTGCACCAGCGAGGTCCAGAAATATGGACGGCAGCAACTCGGCCATCTATGTCTACTTATTTGTGTCAAGGAAACCCCTCTGGCCACCTTGCTTACCTGTCACCGCATACGCAAATCAAGTGGCCGCCGTCCCAGGACACATACGATACCCTCACGTCAAACAACCCAGCAGTGGTCAACATCATGCTCAGCGAGAGGTTCGCCAGAGAGTTCTCCAAGGCAGGGGTAGAAGCCAAGGCGCACCGTATGGTTTTTGAGCTCAGAGCTGCCTACGATTCCGCCTTGGAGCATGTTGACATCTTAGTCACGCCTTGTGCTCCGACAGTTGCGATGCCTCATCCTGACTCGATCATCGGCGGGAAGAAGGCGTCCATCTTGGATAGGCTTGGGGTTGCCATTGGTTTAACAAGCAACACCTGTCCTTTCAACGTCACTGGCCATCCCGGCCTGAGCGTCCCTTGTGGGTCATCGACATCTAAATGCCAGCCATATGCCCCGCTTCCTATAGGCATGCAACTTGTTGGAAGACGATGGGCAGATGAGCAGGTCATTGAGGCTGCGGCTTTGTTTGAAAGAGGGCGAGAGCTGGTTCAGAACGAAATCGACTCTGGCAAATAATAACGTCTTGCAATGGTGTCTGCGCTTGGTTGAGTTACTAGTCTATTTATATAATACTTTATAACTGTGGTGGAAATCTTTGTTTGCCACGCAGAGATAAGTTCTTAAAATCACTGATCCTTCAAAAACTCGACAATCGCCTGATCCATCCAGTCTCTGTCCACCGCGTTGACTCCCAGTCCAGCCAGATGTCCCCATGCAGAGGGTATAACCTTGAACGTTACACGAGGTATGCAGTGCGACTCCTTTTCGGACGCTTCCCAGCGGAAGTACTGGTCCGTCTGGCACGGCATAAGCAGGACGCGCGCCTTGATCCGCGAGAGGGCTTCTTGTAAAGATACATCTTCTCCTAACCCCAAGAGTGAGGCGACGTCGCCTTTCTGCCACATGCCTATCATGGAGAGCAAGTCGTCAGCGTTCCAATTGTAGTAGTTTGTCCCGGCCGCATCGTGATCCCAGTCGCTCAATGTCTCGTATCCTAACGACTTGAACATCTCCTGTTCGAACCACTCGGGGCTTGTCAACCAAGCTGAATAGGCTTTGCCGAAAGCGCGCAGTCCGCCGAGTGCCTTTGACGAGGATCCACAGCCATCCCCCTTCCGGTAGTCGGCGGAATACTCCAGCGCGGCTTTTGGGCCTTCCAGGAACTGGTAATTGTGACGGCTGGTCCGAGCCGAGGAACAGATAATAACCGCGTTGCGGACCAGTTCGGGGTACATCAAGGTCCAGTAGTACGAGCACTGGCCTCCCATGGAGAAACCAACGAGGACATCAATGGCTTGGAGATTGAGATGGCAAGTGAGTAACTGGTGTTGAGCGCGGACGCAATCTTGATAGTCTATTGATGACCGGGGAAAATCCGTCAAATTAGAAGGACTCGAGGATTCACCGTTCCCGAATAACGCCACCACAATGACTCTGTAATCTTTGAGTGCGCCATGGGTGAAGGTCAAAGTTGACTGGAGCCGGCCGCGAAAACAGGTCAATACCAGCGCTGTTTTCTCTGCAGTTGGATTGATGTCCCGATAGGCCAGCTGGACCGAGGCCAGGCCGGGCCAATCCTTGAAGGCGAAATCGCTGATTTGATAGTGCTGGACTGTACTTTCTAACATGGTGATATGGGTGGATATGATAGAAGAAGTGTTCCCCTTCGACGTGGGTAATTTAGAACGGTTATGTTAAAAATATACCTTGGGTCCCGAAGATATGGCCCTTCGGAGCCTCCGAGGGCACGTTTTATGTATGGCCTGAAAGCCAGCTATCTAAGCCTACCAAGACAAATGGCTTTTGCTGTGGGGAGCGAAGGTATAGCTTCTCCATGCATATCAAGCCCACAACGCACGCGCTACAGAATACCATCGGACGAGATTTGTTCACGAATCATCCATGAATGCCTTCAAGCCGTGATGGCTCTTCTTTACATTCTTTATGGCTGTTCTGGGTTCCGACCCGACGTCGTCTCGTTCGGTATAAAGAATTGCCAACTTACGGGGGACCAAAAAAAAGAAGAAAGAGGGAGAGAAGAGAGAAGAAGGCCAGGCTTAACCCGCCGTTGGCTATACTTAGTGATCTGTATCCATGTAGATCAATGTATTGATGACCTATGCGATACCGATGTTGCGGCGGTCAGGGTTCGGGGCCAAGTCCATAAGAATTAAGGGCTTCGGCATTTCCGATGTTCCCAATCCAGCCAGGCCTTTCGGCTGCTCCGCCGACAGGCAGGGAAACCAACCGAACTTCTTAATAAAGCACAACTCATTCGTCTCATCTCAACCTCACTCATCTGTAGGCCATTTCCAAAGACTCCACTCTATTCGTCCTGCCCAAGTCTCGCTCCACCCCCCAAAAAGCAGAAATCAAAATAATAAACGAACATGTCTGCTTCCTGCCGTGTTCAGGGATCTCAATGGCAGGCGCCCTGTTAGGAGATCCTTGGCTGTAGTCATATCCAGGAAGAACCAGCAGGTCTCTGAAGTGACCGTCAACCTGGCCACGTCTCAGGTCGAAACGTGGCGCAATCTGAAAGATGTAATGCCGATTCTCACACTGGAGGATCTGGACGTCATCGAAAGAATTGCCAGGGTCCATCCTGCCGTCATCGATGCTTGCCGAGGCATCGGAATCACCGATATGTCCAAGGACTTTTTCGACGGCTGGGCAATCGGGATGGACGAACGTTGGGGATTCGAGCACAGACTGCAGCAAGCCCTACCCTATTATCGTGAATTTCCATCCGATAACCAGTACGCTCACCCCCTTGATTTTACCGTTATTGCCGATACCGAAACGGAGGAGATCCTCGCCGTGGACATCCAGCTAGTAAATGGGGAACGTACGCCGTTCCCTCGGGAAACGACACAACTACTTCCCCGAGCACATCGGGCATGCTTATCGACTTGATGTCTTGAAACCAATCGAGATGTCGCAGCCTCAGGGAGTATCCTTTCACATGAACGGAAACGAGCTTGAATGGGCCGGACTGAAGATGCACGTTGGCTTTAATTATCGCGAAAGCCTCGTGCTTTCTGACGTGCGCATCCTCGGCCCTTACGAAAACCGCCAACGCAAGATCTTCAACAGGCTCAGCGTCGTAGAGATGTTTGTCCCATACGGCTCCCCAAAGAACCCTCATCATCGCAAAATGGCTTTCGATATTGGGGAGTATTCTGCAGGGTACATGGCCAACTCGCTCAAATTGGGTTGCGACAGCAAAGGTACTATTCACTACTTGGATGCCCACTTGGTGTCCGGGGACGGCCAGCCATGGACCATTAAAAACGCCGTGTGTATTCACGAAGAAGATAACGGGCTCTTATATAAACATACAGATTTTCGAGATAACACGGTTATTTCGGCTCGGGACCGAAAGCTCATCATCTCGCAGATTCTAACTGCAGCTAACTACGAGTATGCCTTCTATCATACTTTTACCCTAGATGGGACGTATAAGTGCGAGGTCAAGCTCACCGGTATGCTTAATACCTATTGTCTTCACCCATCCGAGAAATCGGCACCTTCCGGAACGGAAGTAGTGAAAGGGATCGATGCGCAAAACCACGAGCATATATTCTCTTTACGGATCGACTGCGAGATTGGCAGGCCCTTTAATACCGTGGTTCAAGGCGACGCTGTGCCATCTAGCAGCCCGGTAGGGTCCAAGAGCAATCCTTACGGCAATGGGTTCTTGGCCAAGAAAACCGTTTTCCGCACCGCCAAAGAGGCCGGAGCCGAGTACAATCACCAGACCAGTCGGACTTGGGACATTACCAACCCGAATCGCATTAATCAAGTGCCGAAGAAGCCTGTGGCCTACAAGATCATCAACTCATCATGTCCTGCTCTTTTAGCCCAGAGTGACAGTATTATAGCGAGAAGAGGAGCTTTTGCATCCAAAGCACTCTGGGTTTTGCCGTACGCGGAGGATCAGCGATTCCCGGCGGGATCATACGTCTGTCGATCCACCGGCTAAACTCACCCGGATAATGAGACCATCACGGACTGGGTCGCTCGTGATGGCTCCATCGTGATGGCTCCATCGACAACACCGACATCGTCTGTTACATACAGTTTGGACTAACCCACTCCCCGCGCACTGAAGACTTCCCCATCATGCCAGCTGAGCCTGTGAGCGTCATGGTTCGCGCAAGTAATTTCTTCCAAAAAGACCCTGCGTTACGTGTTCCTCCCTCTGCAGTCGTGAAGGACCCAGATTCGAAGTTGGCTTCACCCGAAGTTGCAAACTCGTCCAGTGAGCCCGAGAGCAAGCCAAAACTCTAAAGGAGCGTTGTGAGATGGGGGAGAGGGAAGAAAGGGGTGGGGGGGCAATGTACTTTGCTTTGGTAGATGATTCAGAATGTAGAACTATAATCATTGCGTCGATGTCGATTTTATAAAATAGGCAAGGGTTATTATATATATCGTTTCGGATGTTCTCTCAAGTTTTTTGTAGACTTCAAAATTTCCAGTCGTGGCTTCAAGACCCTACCATCATTTTTTGATCAAATACAGAGTGCACTCTAGTCTATGGAGCACACTCGGTGTGACGTTGCGTTGGATACGCCCCCGATGTCTCCCTTTGCATTACACTCACAAATTCTATACCCCAATAAACCACAACATGTCCCAAAAAGAGCACGCCTAATAGATGGAAGGGGAAGCAAAGCCACCGCTAAAATTTTGACCAGATCTTATCTCTTCCACAGCAAATAACCTTTGCCATGATGAGACAGAGAAAACTTGCGAGATAACTTGCAGCTGCAAATATAATCACACCTCGGTACTGATTGTTGGATATCTCAAGAAATTTCCCTCCTAACGCGGTACCAGTGAACATACTAAAGATGTAATGAGCGTGTCAGTTCTGTTCTGTAGGGATGCAGGGGGCGCCGGGTAATAGCTTCGACCAACCTGACGCTAACCAGTATATATGCCGTAGAGTAATATCGTCCGTACGACTGCAGCTTGCACAACTGGCCAACGCATACCGGAGCAAGACTAACGTTGCTGCCGCTGAAAAAGCCGAAAACCAAGGCGAAGACGACGGCGAGCGGTTCGCTTGACTTGGCTGGTAACCAAAGGCCCAAGACGCTGATAAAACAGCCGAGAACAGTGAGTATCAGCATATTGAATCTTCCTAGCCGGTCGGCATAGTATCCCGGAATCCATCGACCAAACACTCCGGCGGCATTAATTAGTGAGAGGAGCATATATGAAAAGGTTGGCGAGCTCCCATGATCGAGAGCATAGGATGCCAGGTAGGAAAAGGGGATGAAGAGCCCCCATTCGAGGAAGAAGACGCCGAGACTCGTCAGGGTCAAGCCGCCATGTCGAAAAATTGTCAAGTCAGGGCGTGCTGTGGACAGCGTCAACGGTTTGGGGGGGAACCGAGGACGGATGAGGACGGCGGCGAGAAGGAAGGTGACGATGCATACAAATGCCGAAATTCGGGTTGCCCAGGCAAACCCAACCGTTGAAAAAAGCCTCTGAAGCATCAGCGGAAAGACAATGCCGCCAATAGCACCCCCAGACGATGCAATCCCGGTGGCAAGCCCACGTCTGGTATCGAAATAGTGGGCAACTATTGAAATAGCCGGCCCAAATATGAGTGAGAGGCTGATACCACCCAAGACGCCGTATACGAGCATGAAATGCCAGTATTCTCTACAGATGCTCAGCAACATCAGATAAAGGATTGTCAAGACGCCTCCGCAACAAATAAGCGCACGGGGACCTCTCGCATCGAAGATGGGTCCGGCCTGGACACCGAGGAGGAACGTCAAACCATTGTAGACACCAAAGATCCAACCCACAGCTTCAGGACTATGGCTACTTAGTTGATTCCGTAGTAGGTATGCTTGAAATGTTCCTATGCTATTCATGAAAGACATCGAGCCAAACAAGGCCATCCAGCTCCCCAGCACTACTCCCCAGGCTCTCCAACCTCCTTCGGGATACTCTGTGACATCAGGATCATGGGAGCTGTCCGTCGGAACGTCTGACGCATCTTTGTGCTCGTTTTCATGCTCTTCTTTTCTGTTCACGATCTGTTCTGCACCGTTCGTGCTCAAATGGAATGAGGGTTTCTCCGTTGCGCTTAGAGTTGACTGAGACATGACCGGTGACCCTGGTTTAGGATTAACAATTCGCTTGGTTTTTGTTGGTATTGCTAGGGATCGAGCTTCTGGATCTTATCAGACATGAGATAACGAAGATTGGGAGAATTCGAAAAGGTTTTCCTAATCGACCGTTAGAATCCTGCTTTGCGAGGGTTGAACGGGGGTGGCGATTTCGGACGGGCCGATGAGCACCGCTAAAGTGTGAGTCGGATCCTCCGACATTATTGCCCAAGAAAAAGATATCATATACGGACCGCAATGGCGAGAGAGTGAGACCAGAGTTAATAATACCTTCAAAATATTATAGGGCCTATGTTTGACCTTGAAATCACATCCGTCATCAAAACATCAACACCATTTCCAATACAAACTTCTACAATCTCCAAGTCAGCTACTCGCTATCACTATGTCTCCCAACGGACAAGCATACCTATTCAAACCTGACGTACCTGAAGGCGCCACACGATTCCCACAAGCGCGCCTCGCCCCCCTCACGAACCACCGCACTATCTACATTTCCGGGACAGCGTGCTGTCGCCCGGACGGTACCTGGCCGGGCGTCACTGAAAATGCGGACGGAACACGCACTTTAGATATCCGCAAGCAAACTGCTGCCGTCCTCGAGAACGTCGACAACATCATCAAGGGTGCCACAGACGGAAAGGGCGGAATCCACAACGTAATTGACGCTGTGGTCTATATTTTGGACATGGAGAGTTATTATGCTGGTATGAACGAGGAATGGAACAAAGTGTTCACGACTCGTGCTAGTGCTCCGGCTAGAGCTACCATTGGCGTTAAAGAATTGCCGGATCCCCGAATGATTGTGGAAGTTAAGGCAGTTGCAGTCGTTGAGGCTTAGAGTATTAGGAAGACAATGGGAACTCCCGTCAACAGACTGGCATCCTACTCATTTTGATGTCCCTCCCCTAGGATCATATAGTCAGGAGAAATGTTGAAGAGGTATATATTTCGTCAATTGAATGTTGATAAATATTCTTGCAAATGGTGACTCGGCCGGAGACGAGAAGTTCAAGCGAGTCTAGGCTTTCCGGGCCCGCATCTTCCTCCATTTACACACCACCAACGTTTATAGAGTGACGTCCATAAATCTAGCCATTAATACCGCCGTTTTTCAGCTTGTGATTAATCTTTAAGTCGTCTTAGTATTGGCACACGAACAGATGTTGTTAATTCAAATCATCGTCTCATTGAACTCTTCACGAGTAAAGTAGTAATTGCTAATAACACTAGAATGAGCGAAATTCGCATAATATGAACCTGTGCTGTTTGCCACGCAACTACCCCCCAAATGTCCCTGGTATAAATCATACCATGTTCTTCATTGCTAAGTTTCGGTCTACATCTCGCGTGCATCGGTCTTTACTCATGGTGGGTCGAAGATTCAAGCCAGCCCGGCAAAAAGTCCCCGAACGGAGCCTACTCCTTGTAGTGCTCACGGGTCCTCTGCTCCGCAAGATCCAAGCACTCATCCAGCATGGCCGCGTCCCTGGGGATGAGCTTGACCTTGAATTCCCTCGGGATCGCAACCAGCGCGGTTTTGAACTGGTTGTACTCCACGTAGTCGGTGTTGGGAGGGTGGTCTTTGCTGGCCACGATCTTATAGGAAGATAGAAGCCTCACCAACGCGGCGTACAAAAGGCGAGAAGCGATGTACTGGCCCGAACAAGCTCGAGAACCAGTGCCGAAACTCAGGTGACCCAGACCATTGGTCTCCTCTGTGGGAGGGTTCAGGCTCTTAAGCCACCTCTCGGGATTGAAGCTCCCCGCGTCCGGACCGAAATGATCAACATCTACCAACGTTAGACTGTTCTACGAGAAAGACACAGGGCTCTCAGTAGTTTGAGATAAACTCACCATGATTGCCAGCCTGAGCATTGATCAAGATCATGGTCTTGGGAGGAATAATAGCACCGTTCCAGTTCACCTCGGTGACAGTCTTCCTGGGCAGACTCATTGAGCTGACGGTGTAGTATCGGCCAGCCTCCTTGACGATCGCATTAATATAGGGAATTTTTTCCTCCTTAAAACAGGCAGTCCAGGCATCGCGAATGTCGGGATAATGACGTTTGATGTCCTCGTAGGCACGATCCTGCCATGCTTGTCCTTCCTTGGTCGAAAGAGACCCGATGCAGGAGGTCAAAGTTCCGGGGATCGTCTCAAAGCCACCAGAAACAAGAGACAAACAAATTGACGAGACTTCGACGCCCGTGAGCTTGGTTTCCTCGTCCTTGAGAATGGCAGCTGAGATACACGGCTTATCCGTACCCTTCCTAATCATCTCTCGGACCTTGTTCAAGAGGAGATCCAAGTAGGCGTCTCGTCGCCCCCGAAGCTCCTTTGACCGAGCAATCTTCTCGTTGTTGGGTAGATATCTCAAGACCGGCACGTAATCTTGCAGGTTCTCCGAGGCACTGCGCAGCAGCGAGATGGCCGATCCCACGTGAAGAATCTCACGAAGCAGGTCGTCGTATACGTTGTCCATGCGAATTCCATAGCAGAGAGTCAATGTGGTATTGAGCGCGTACCGCTGGATGTAAGGGCGAACGTCAATCTCTATCTGACCCTGGCTATCCCTCTTCATGTCTCGCAGAATGCAGTAGCCCTCCAAGTCGAACATGGGATAGTAATTTCTCAATGCGGGTCTACCCAAAGCCGTACCAGCAGCCTTGCGCTTCTTCTTGCAAGAGTCATCCCAGGGCGAAGATCCGATGGTGAAGCCTTGAGTGCTGCTGATGACGCCATGGAAGGTGTAGAGCTTGGGGCGGTCGATGACCGCATTCTGGTTGCCAAGGAGCATCTTCTTGCAGTCTTCGAAGGAATTGACAACCACGGCCCTGGTGTTTCCCAGCTTAATCTGGAAGACTGAATGGTTGTACTGGCGCCACCATTTCTCGCAAACACTGGCGTGATCCTCGCCGAGCTTCAAAAGGTGTCCAAACACTGGAACTGCGCCAGGAATCTCCGGCATGCCCTTGATGCGAGGAATGTCCGTAGCAAACATTACCTGTCGAGATTAGTCAACTGCTGCGCGCCATCAGGAAGATGAAGCAAGCAATGACGCCAGCTTGAGCTTGGGTATGAGGACACACTTACACTATAAAGCACGTAGGTGAGCAACACCACCACAACGGCCGTCAAGACTGGGCCGGCATGCTCTTGATCCTTGAGCTGATGCCACTGGTATCCCAGCCAATCGGAGGAGATGCGAGCCTTGGGGTCCATAATTGATGAAGATTCGAAAGATGAGCGGAGTTAGGAGGCTTGAAACAGCAAAACAGACCGTGTCGCGGAGGATGATGAAGATTCGAATGATTGTTGGAATAATTTATCCTCAATTTCAAAAAAATGTCTCGCATTCAAATGGGTGACTTCCTTATGTTTTTCATTTCGGCACCGACTCCGCATCTCTCCCTCTGCAGGAATGATAACCTTCGGCGGGTTGGCGGATGCTCCGACTGTATGGAGATACCTAGGGTGTCCTGGCGGCGGCGCCGACGACGAGAATACATGCCTTAAACAGGGGCGTTAAAATGAATACCCATGGGCATCGGACCCTAGAGGATAGGTTAGAGCAAGGCATGCCTCAAATTCCAGTAGGTGAGGTGTACAAAGCCAGGGAGTGTATTGACGTCAGCTTCTCTAACGGCGGATGGTTTATTGACGAAAATGTACGTATGGATTTGACCAGGACTAGGCCGAGGTATTCCAAGAGTAGAAGCCCAAGCCACAAGTTTCATCCACAAGAACGTACGCCAAATAAACTATCACTCAATGTGCTTAGTAGCATTTGGTCGCATCATCCGACAACCATTTACAAGACGATCGGGATGGCCGACTTCCGATTACGGCCCAGTCCACCACTTTGCGAAACTACATGAGGCACGCCAGAGACGATCGAGAGCTAATGTAGAGTGCGCGATGCCTTCTGCATCTGCATTTCAGTTGACTAATTTAGTTGCAGTGCGATAGCCGGAGAATGGGACTCTACGCGCTAATCGACCCTTTTGTCGTAGGAGTAATCCTCCTACTAATTTTCTACTTTGGGAAACGGCCGAGGCCCAAGGCCAAACTCGGCGCCTGTGAGACGCCTAGACCTGAGTCTGAGCTCGATCCCTCCAGAGATATTGTTGATATCATCAAAAGAACCAACAAGAACTGTGTCGTCTTCTATGGCTCTCAAACGGGAACTGCGGAAGATTACGCCGCACGGCTTGCTAAGGAAGGCAAAAGCCGTTTCGGGCTGAACACGATGGTTGCAGACCTCGAGGAGTACGACTACGATCGCCTCGGTCAGCTTCCTAGAGATACGATTCTCATCTTCGTTCTCGCAACTTATGGCGAGGGCGAGCCGACCGACAACGCTGTTGACTTTCACACATTCATTACATCGGGCGAACTTCTCTCCGCCGACAACCCTTCCCCTTTACGCGACCTCGCGTTTGCCGCTTTCGGTCTGGGAAATAGCACATATGAGAAGTACAACTGGATGGTTCGCTCTGTGAATCAAGCGCTTACGGACCTCGGGGCAAACCGCCTTGGAGTAGTTGGAGAGGGAGACGATGGCAAGGGGGCGTGGAAGAAGACTTCTTGGCGTGGAAAGAGTCTATGTGGACGCCACTCGCAAAGATGTTTGGCTTGAAAGAGCGTCCCACTGTCTACGAACCTACTTTCGCGATATCTCCCCTCGATGAACTTACACCAACTTCGAATGGGGTGTTTCTGGGTGAGCCCACGATAGCCGCTCTACGATGCGCTCCGCAAGGACCATATAATGCTCACAACCCCTACCTTGCCGTTGTCTCGGAGTCATACGAGCTATTTTCTAGCAAAGATAGAAACTGTTTGCACCTGGAAATCGATATCGGTGATTCAAATTTCTCGTACACTACCGGCGATCATATCGCTATCTGGCCTAATAACCCGAGCGAAGAGGTGGAGAGCCTTCTTCGAATTCTCAACCTATGGGAGACGAGGAACCGAGTTGTTGACATTAAGGCAGTGGATAGCTCGGTTAAGGTCCCGTTCCCGACTCCTACGACGTTTGACGCGCTCTTCCGGTATTACTTGGAAATCTGCGCACCAGTGTCACGTCAACTGTGTGCTACTCTTGCAAGCTTCGCCCCAAGTGAGGAGGCAAAGGAGAGGATGGCCCTTCTCGGCCGCGATAGGGATCATTTCATTCAAGAAACAAGATCAGCGTATTTCAATCTCGCTAGTCTACTAGCAAGAGTCAGCAGAGGCGACGCATGGAGGGACGTTCCCCATTCTGCCGTAATCGAAGGGCTCGGCAAATTGCAACCTCGGTATTACTCCATATCGTCCTCATCGCTAGCACAACCTCGCATGGTGTCGATCACAGCTGTGGTCGAGTCAAAGGCAGTGAAGGACCAGGAGAAGCCTTTCAAGGGGGTAGCAACAAACTATTTGCTGGCCTTGAAATACCATCAGAACTGCGAGGTTCCTCCTGAAAGCTTCAGACTTTCCTATCAGTTACATGGTCCCCGAAATACGCGCAAGGACGTGAGGCTACCAATCCATATCCGTCACTCTCATTTCAGGTTACCAGCCGACATCAAATGTCCTGTTATTATGATCGGGCCTGGTACGGGGGTTGCCCCATTTCGTGCCTTCACTCAAGAGCGTGCCAGGGACGCAGAGCAGGGCCAGAAGGTGGGCCAAATGCTCCTATTCTTCGGATGCCGCAAGTCATCTGAAGACTTGATCTATGCTGCTGAATGGGAGGTAAGTTCTCGCAGATCGGCTGCACGTTTCCGGAACCACTTTTCGAACTGACGACATGGCAGAGGTATAAGAATGTACTCGGTGATGCGTTCGAGTTCATCACGGCTTTCTCTAGAGAGGGCGCGGAAAAGGTTTACGTTCAGCATCGGCTTCGAGAACACGCACGAGCCATTTCTGGACTTGTTTCTCAGGGAGCACATATCTACATCTGCGGAGATGCCAACAGCATGGCTCGGCAAGTGAACGCTGCCTTAGTCCAAATTCTGGTTGAGCAGAATAATCTGTCTAGGCCAGATGCAGAGAAATTTTTAAGCGATATGAAATCAAGACAACAATACCAGGTCAGTAGGTAATCAAATACTGAAAGCACTGCCAAGCCTGAATCCCTAGCTAATACCATGATACCATGATAGGAAGATGTTTGGTAACGAAAGACAGAACATTGACATACTGCAAGCCAGTAATCACGTTAAATTACCATGCTGTTCTCTTTTTTATCCCAGATGATCACGAGTGGGCATCAATAACTACTCAATAAATTCAAGTTTTTTATTATCAGGAAAAGAAAAGTTGATTCTATTTACTCCTCGGCACTCGCATTTATCAATAATATTATAGTTTATACGCGAGTGCGCGCCAGCATATTCATCCCTACACAGAGGACTGTGATGAACTTCAACTTGCACAAGTTAGTCGAACTCAGCCGAACGACGATATGCATCGCCGCCAGCCTGCAATATGCTAAAAGCCCATTTCCTGTAATGAGTAGTACGTTTACCAAAACTGCTTCCGTTGAGCCAGCCCTGCCCTCGATAGTTATCTTGTTATTTTCAAGTGGGTTTGATGACCCAAGCTGAGGGGCCAAGGGTGCTTGCGGAAGGCGTATAACTTGCTGTGCAGTAGATGCCTTGGTCAAGAGAGCCATTAGGACGTACAAATTGTGGGTTCTCATCTTTATTTTCTGTGAAGTTTCATAAAGTATTCTCTAAACTATAAGAAGTACTCGATAGCTTTAGATTTTCCACGGAGAGCCGCAAACCCTACCGTATAGCGTTCGTCCCGTCATAGTCAAGCACCTCACTCATCCTCCAACTCTGCCGGATCCGGCTGTAAATCCACAAGGTGTGATGGAATGGTCCAGCGTTCTTCGCGATGAATGAGTCGATGAACCAGGTACAGGGCTACGAACGCCGGCAAACCAATATAAGCGGAAAAGAACGAAGCGATCGACCACTCGGACGGAAAGAAGACCGTAAAGCCATTCAATAAACACAAGAGAGAGAACAAGACGAGGGTAATCCATGATATAACAGGTTGTAGCGGGGACCTCTGAGTGAGCTCCGACTCGGGAACTCCCTGCACCCTACAGGCTCTCCGGAAGCGAAGATATGTAACCGAACAACAGATCCAGGACAAAAAGCCTCCGGTGTTAATCAAATTCAGTAACCAGCTGAAAACACTGGACGAGGAAGAATTGAGAGTCAAGTAAGCTAAGAGGGAAACGCACGCCGTGGCCCCGACTGCGTAGATAGGCACTCCCTTAGCAGTACACCTTTTGAAAATCGAAGGCGCGCTGCCTTCCATCGCCATCGAGTGGAGACACCGGCTGGCGAGGTAAAGGAATGCGTTGCCGGTTGACCAAGCCGCTATGAGAGCCACGGCGTTGATCACACTATCCAGGCCGTGTATCCCAGCTTGGCGAATACCCACGACCCAAGGAGAAGACGCAGCGTCTGATCCATTCATGAGGGCCGCAGCGTCGGAGGGACAGATGACCGAAATACCAACAACGCTTCCAACGAAACAAACGATCAGTCGCCAGAGGAAATGTCTTGCGACTTTAGGAACGTTTGTTCTCGGTGATTTGATCTCGGCCGCCGTTCCAACCACCATCTCGGGCGTAAAGGTAAACGGCAGGATACTGCTGATCACAGTGGCAATGGCCGCAACCAGCCTTCCGGCGTCACCTTCTAATATCAAGGTTTTTGTCGCGCCAGGGCTCTTCCAATAATGAAACCCAAGCCTCCTGTGATCGGGACCTCCTCCCCAGAACAGGACAAACGAAAGAATTAGCAGCCCGACGATGGTAGCCAGTTTGACTCCGGTGAAGAAGAATTCTGCTTCTCCGTAGAATCGTACCGGAAGAACATTGAGAATAACCAGCAACACCAGTAGAATGGTGATCCAGACTGCGCTGTTGATGCCCGGTTGCCAGAAGTTGATGATAATAGCACACGCGGTAAGTTCGAACGGAACCAAGATGGCGAAAGAGTAGAAGTAAAGCCAGCCCATTGTAAACCCGACGCTGTTGGAGACGAAGCGTCTGCCGTAGCAGCTCATGGAACCTCCGCGGACAGGAAGAAATGTCGCCATCTCGATGATTCCAGTGAGAATAAAATATACCAGGATCGATACGAACACGTAGCTACCGACGAGGAACGCTGGGCCGCCGATAGCTAGAGTTTTGCCGGTGGTGATGAAGAGGCCCGTCCCGACGGTCCCACCCCAAGCGATAAATATGGCATGGCGTGCCGTAAGCCTTCGTTTGGTAGATGGGTGATGAAGCTCTTCTTCTATGCCAATTGACTCCACCCTCTGCTCTATCTTAGTGTTATCTTTGTCATCGCCGGAGCTGTTTTTTTCCGATGAGGGCGAGATGTCCATGGCTTTGGTTGGAAAGGATACGAATCGCGTAGCTTCAAGGTCTTAAGAGCTCAGTTTGTGCCGCTTTTCTGAAAGGCCATTATATGGCAAAATTCGGTATTCTTATTCCCATATTGATTCCTGGTCTTGATCGATAAGCGGGCATTGAACTATCTATATATTCGAGCTGATGCAGACTGCACGCCGAGTGAACCTTCTTATCAGCTGGAGGTGAAATACGAAGACCCCATTGCACGATATCGGCTCGTCCGATCAATAAAATCGATGTCGGATTTTCCGATGCCGCCCTCCTATATACGCCGACCATCCGGATATGGTAGATAAGATTCGAATTTACTGGACTAGGATTGAACAGCTCCTAGTGCAAGGGAAAGAAAGAGAAATAGCATTGAACCACCCCGGTCTGAGATAGCAGGGATGAGCCCACTCGATGTTGTTACGATCCTAATACGAGCTTGAAGGGAATACCAGGTGGGTATAGCTGGTGGAAGCGTCAAGGGTACCTGTTGTGAAGTAAGTGAGGCAGTTGATAGTATTTGAAAGACACTTTGGTCCTCTGGAATTTCTTGCGGATCTGGGTTTTCTGGACGCTGATTCGTATAAACTACCCTGTCATCAGCTGCACATCAGCTCCTATAGACCTGCCCAGTGATATATATACGAACTGGTGTGCGGCTAAACCAACCCCACAGATTTCTTCTAAGCTCTCCCAGTCACCCTGGGGAAGATTCACCGCGGTTTCGACACGTTCTTGGATTGACGTCCATGTCCGCCTTGGTAAATTAACTTTCTACCTTCCGGATGGATGTCTGAGCCTCCCACTGGGTACTGGGGCTGGTGGGGCTGGGAGCAAGTGGTACGGTTCTCAGGAGCTGATTCCGGAGAGAAGAAGAAGAGAATCCGCGAAGGAAAGAGAAAGGGGGGGGGGTTCGGGGAGCTAACAGGATTGGGTTCGGTGGCTGGTCTGTTTTCACAGAAGGAATGAATCGGATGTCGAATTTCAATCTCTAGGGAAGAGACCTGATATATAAAGTGATTGTATTGTGGCAATTGAAACTACTGAATAAGAATCGACTGCTGGAAACGGAATACTGGGATACTGAGTGAAGACTGAAGAGCTTGTGATTGTACAAAAAAGGGAAAGAAACAAGAAAAGTAGCCTTCTACCTCGAATACCGAACAAAGGGTTCGCCCGACCTCCTATAAGTACGTCCGACACTTTCTCAAGACCACCAAAGGCAAAACAACTTGACGAAGACTCCGACATTCGGAGAGGCTGCGATCGAATAGGCCTGACTAGGGCTTCTCTTCTGTTCCCGGCTCACGATCTACTCCCTCGTTCCATCACAGAGGGATTGTAAATGTGACTGCTGCACCCATGAATCAACGCTTCTATTCCACCCGGCTTTGTCCGGCCCTCGGTGCATCTCTGGCACATCATCCTTACCCCTGGCCTCGCCGCATCACCACGTGTCGTGAGAGGTAACTGCTTCGGAGGGGCGCCCAGGAGGATTGCTTCGTCGGCGCCGAGCATACGCTCTTCGATGAAATTGCGGCCGTGGGTAGCTTGGGCTACGGCTTCCCCAGCCATGATGGCGAGGACGGGGAGCCCTCGCATCACCGGGGGGATGCCTCCTTGGATGTTGCCTAGTTTGGCAAGCTTGGAGATTTCGGATTTTAGGTATACTGAATTCTTGCTGTAAAGCATTGTAATTTAACTTGAGGTGAATGAATTCGAAAGCAGTTGGTAGCTAGATGCGTATGATGTGAGGCGAGCGCCAGAGTGGAATGGTTCTGGAATGTGGCTCGTGAAGCTGGGTATGTGTCTGCCCATGAATTGTGCACACATTAATCCCAAGTAACGCTGATGTGGGGTGAGTCTCATTAATGTTTTAGCCTGAGGCACGGAACGTAACCTGACATCGACAACTCGGGCCGTGTTAACGCCCTGAAGTCTCTTGGAAAAGTATGCTGTGAGTACCTCATGATATTTATTTTAGTAGTTGTAAACTTCGTCTCGGACACTGGGCTATTATGAGACCGTGGGGACAGAAGCGACGACGTTGATGAAATGACAACTTAAAACACCATAGACTGGGTTTATGATTCAGAGCAGACATGAATTCTATCGGGTTATGCACTCTAGCTGACATTAGACGATCGTTCCCGACTCGACTAACACCATTATGCGGCGAAAAGCAACTTTGAATGGCTCCCTTAATGAGTCCATCATCCAAGGCATACCCTACACCCTGACAGCAAGAGGGTCAAGAAAAAGGTCAACAAATTCTCCGAACAGCTCGTAATATCTTTCACATCACGTCACTCAACCACGCGGCGCGCGTGCCCGGTTCTCCCTCTGCCTCCTCTCCTTCTTCGCCGTCCTCCTCCGATTCATCCATGACCTATTCAACTCCCTCCGGTTCTCATAAAACCAATTCTGGAAATCCCCCACGGGCATGGCGACATCCTTATTCTCTTCCGTTCCTCGACTCGGCGAAGGTCGCAAAGGAGAGGTCGGCTGCTGCTCCTCGTCCTCCTCGTCGATATCATTCTCGTGACTCGGCTCCCAGAATCCGCGGGTCCGGCTGGGATGAGCCGTATCGGGTGTGGGGGCAGCGCTGCGGATGTTCCTCAGCTCAAAGTCTTGCCGGGTGAAGGGTGTCATGGGGGGTTGGCTTCCCGGAGGAGGGAGGGAGGAAGGATCATCCTCTTCTTCTTCGTCATCATCTTCTTCGTCGGCGCCGCCGAAGAAGGTGAAGGGTTCAGCCGCGGGGGCTGATGAGGTGGCGGTGTCGGCGTTGGTACGCTTATAAAGCGCTTCGAGGGGGTGGACTTTGGCCGGGGTGGTGGGGTGTGGGGGGATTGTGATGGAGAGGTTCTTCATTGAGCTGGAGGATTTGGGCCGGGTTTCCGTGGGCGGAGGACTTTCTTTGGCGGGTAATGCTGGCTCGTCCTTGTCATCTTCTGACTCGGACTCTGATGATGAAGTGTGGACATCGACTGGTTCAGCTTCGGATTCGCCATCGGATGAATCGCTGCTGCTGTCGCTATCGCTGCTACTGCTACTATCATCCTCGCTACTGTCGTTTTCCGCGGGCTTGGGCTCCTCTTTCGGGGCTTGCTCCTTGACAGTGCGTGCTTTGGGGCGAGGTTCTGGCGACGCCACCTTAACAGGCACAGGCGCACTCGGGGCCGCGACCGTGCTCTCGGTAGCCTGGATCGTGGTCTTTATGAAGCTCGGGAACTTCTTCGTGTTCTCGAACTCATGCACAACGACCTCCCTCTGCGATTTGGCCTTCTTCTTCCTTTTCCTCTTCTCATCAGCCGCGGAATCCACTAACGCAGGCGCATTCTGTGGCAGCACAACCTTCATCAAGCATTCCTCCTTGTCAGTGTACTTTGACTTGACAACCTTCTTGCTCTTCTTCTTCTCCTTCTCCTCTTCGCCCTTTCCCTTGGACCCCTTCTTATTCTTGTTCTTCTTAGCTTCCTTCCTCGCCTCCTCGGCCGTAACAGTCCACCCGCGCTTCACCTTGCGACCCTCAGGCAGCAAGACGCCTTCAAAGGTGTTCACGTCCCGCCTCCTCTTCTTCTTCTTATCCGTGTCGCCATCATTCCCGTCGGAAGATCTCTTCTTCCTCTTCTTAGAGGTAACCTCTTCCTCATCAGCCGTCGGCTCGGGAATCTTTTCGGGCCTAGCCTTCTCGACGCGCATCTTCTGACCCCTCAGCGTCGATCCGTGAAACTTCCTCTTGACCTTCTCGGCGTCAGCGGCGGGCAGCTCGACGAAGCCGTACCGGTTCTCGGGAAAGGTTTCGAGCGTGTGGAAGGAGATGTTGCGCGCATGCGGGAGCGCCGAGGCGGGCACGACGGTCTTGAGAAGGTCGGCGTCGAAGGGCGTGATGTGCAGGCGGGAGTAGGAAGGCGACGATGGAGGGGGCCCCGAGGAGGTGGATTGCGCGGGAGGGGCGGCGGAGGAGGAGAAGGGTAATGCTGGCATTACCGGGGTTTTTGCTGGGCGAGGGGAAAAGCTTTGATTGCTTTGGGGAGAGGAATGCTGCTTTCAATGGATGTTGGTGTTTTATGTTTGGTTGGCTCCAAAAGAAAAAAATTATTGATGAAAACAGCGAAAAGTAACATCACGTGTATACAGTGCGTGTTATTCACATCAGTCACACAGTGGAATCGACCATCACGATAATGGATTCTCAGTGAAATGAAAACATTGAATATTGAATTCCAACATAACATTGGGTGGAGGTGTCGAGAGTGGCATTTTTGGGCGGCAAGCCGGTGCCATTTTCGGCATCTTCGAACACTATTACAAAGTACGGAGTACACCAATTGGAAAATTCAGGTACATGACTTAGTCCATGGGGCAGGATCTGCACTGCGTGCAAAGCGAGGATGTCCGCAAACCTGGGAAATCGATCGCATCGCAGGCACCGGAACTCAGGAGACCAGAATCCAGGACAGGCATACATTATTATTCTGGGAGCCCTCTCTCTGACGCTGCTATCATCGACAAAAAAAAAAAAAAAAAAAAAAAGAGCGCGAGAAAAAAATATTTAGTTTTTTCTCTCTCTAGTCTTTAATCTATAAAATTTTATACTATAAAATTTAAAATATATTTATATATATTTATTTTATTTAAGATTTTATTTAATATTATAATAAAGTAAAATATACTTATAATAGTTTTTATATTTTTAAAAGGAAAGGTACAAGCGAGAGCGCACTGTGGCACGGGACTTGCCGTAAGGATGACTCAGCTGCGGGACCCGGTCGGAGCACAGTCGGAGACAAAAGGGGTTCCTCGAGGTACACAAGTCAGTCTTAGAGCAAATTAAAGTTTTGACAACAGTTTAACTTCCGAACGATCGCAGTGCATTCTTCGTGACACTGGTCTTTCCTCGAGCTATTCACAGTATATCCTTATATATAAAACCTTTATTGTTCGATTAACTAAACCAGCAATGTTTTTTAATGTATTCCTTCTTCTAACTTCTAACTAGAATTCTTCGATAGTTATTTCCCCTTTATACCCATGCCACTACTCCTACATGTCACGTGCCCTGTGGCAGCCACTGCCATATTCCACAAGCCACTATTGCCACATATAACCAGCTACCAACTGCACTACACACCAACACAATAGTTCTGGCTTCCTGCTTCTTTTTTATATTGTGTGTGCCTGCGACGAAATACAGCGACTGAAGCTCCCAAGATGGGACTATGTTTACTATGCTCAACAGCATTACAACAATTATGCCCATTCGAAGCAGGCCACTATTCAAACACCATTGTAACACTGCCTAGATACTGCCATACCAGCATGATCAACTGCTGGATTTGCACCAAATTCGCAAAGTGGCTGGTCAGTGTAGATCGAACTGTCTTTGAAAGCTGGCACAAGGACACTCTGCAGGTGGAATATTACAGCCACCAGCAAGCTTTTATGGAGATACAAGGCACTACAGTTGTACTTTTTGCGTTTCTCATGCGTCCTTTCGGACGTACCGACGGGGATAGTTGCTCTATCGAAGTGAATTTTGTTCCCTCCAATGGTATGGTTCTTCTGTACCTTAGCGGGCATACTATTAAATGACTAACATTACGGTAGTGCACGAAGAGTCGATATCACGGCGTTTCTGCTCCTCTAGAACAGATCTTGATCTTATTCGAACTTGGTTTAACAAATGCGAGAGATACCACAAGGGGTGTCAGGAGACCAACCAACCTTGGTTTCCAACTCGTTTACTCTATCTGGGGCCGAGAGGGCGCTATATTAAACTTGTTGTAACGGAAGACAATCCCCCGAAAGGTCCTTACATGACCTTAAGTCATCGCTGGGGTAGCGAACGATATACGATGCTACAATCATCTACAATAACGCAGCTACAGCGGGCTATCGATGTCGTCCGTCTCCCAAGGCCATTCCAGGATGCGATTAGAATTGCGCGTCACCTTGGCATCCAGTACCTCTGGATCGATTCACTTTGTATTAAACAAGACAAAAGCGATCGTTCCGATTGGATGACGGAATCTCGGTTGATGGGCAAGGTCTATTCGTCCGCTTGTCTAAACGTGTCGGCTACTCGATCAATCGACGGTTCCGAGTGCCTGCTCGGGAAAAGCTCCTGGGCTTCCAAGATCCCTAGCCAGATTGACTTCAGCACAGAGAGCCTGTCGATAAAAGCTTACGTGATCGATGGCGATCTCTGGGATGACGAAGTCGAAAATGGTCCTCTCCTCCGCCGAGGCTGGGTTTTCCAGGAGCGCTTATTGGCTCGTAGGGTTGTCCACTTCGGCGAAAGTCAATTAGCGTGGGAGTGTAACGAGTGTCACGGGTTAGGAATGTTTCCAGATGGGCTGCCATTATCCATGGCCGTGTTGGGTGGCAAGAGATCGGACAGGGCTCCCACGACACCAACGTCGACGTCAAGCACCGTATCGACTCCTGACATAAAGTTCGTTACGGAATGGCAGAACCTAATGAGCCAGTATTCCAAATGCGGCCTTTCGGAAAGCGGAGATAAACTCATCGCTCTAGAGGGTATCGTCAAAAGCAAGATGAGTATTAGGCCAGGCGATAAATACGCTGCCGGGATGTGGAAAAGTACGGCATTGTTTGATCTTCCTTGGTGGCGGTGGGATGAGGATCGGGAGCTGTACCCCATCGAAGCAACCTCAGCTCGTGCTCCT